GGATCGAGCTTGAGTTTTTTTTTTTTTTTTTTTTTATTTTTTTTTTTTTTTTTTTAGTAGGGGCGAATGTTTACCTTTTGACTGTAAGGTTTGTTAACAGTTGGCTATGCTACGCTATGAAGCGTAATAAACACGTGTTGTTTATGGCATTGCATGTGGTGCTGCACATTAAACCACTCCAATGCTCCCAATAGAGAGAGCATGAGAGCTACTAAATACCACCCCGCCCCTGATTCATCAAGCTTAGATTTTTTTGTAGGGAGCTTTTAAAACTATAGTGCATCATTAAGCCCGAGGAGTCTACAATAAATCACATGTCAAAATAAAATCAAGGCAAGGAAAAAAAAGAAGAAGACTACAATCGAAGAAACTCCAGGTGTGCGACTGAGTCCAGCATTTACTAATCAATCAGTTACAGGCATGCAGAAGGTCTGATGTAAACAAAAAGAATCTGTTGCAAATAAATGCCTGTCTGTTATTAAGGATTTTTATTTTATTTATTTATTCAGAATTTAGCAACAAAAAAGTTTCTTAATAAAAAAAAAAATACTTATGTAACAAACATATTGGAAATTCTCAATAAAAATCTTCATATTTCAATAACTCTCTCAAAAATTTTAATTTATGTCAGCTTAAAATTAACAAAATTAAATTAATACTAAAATGCTTTATCATGAAATAATTTATATAATGAATATATTACCGTGAAGGACTGAAATCAAGAGAATGTAGAATTTCACCGGTGAATGTCAACAATCACATAGTCGCTTTAGTGAATGTTCGAAATATATGTTATATCCGATTTGGTATTAATTTATTCACTGATATTATTATATTCATTCGCTATTTTAATATCTGCTGAGGATAGATTAGGAGAAACATCAGTGTTCGGAGTACCGGTTAAATGCATAATGGGCAGTGGCACTTCACATTAAAAAAACCTCAGTGTAAGGTACACCGAGCATTGATGGCGCTTAACTAGTATATATTTTGGACATTTACCAAAGCCACTATGTGATTGTCAATATTCAATGGCGGAAGTCTAAAACCACCGATTTCGGTTATTCACAATAACAAATATAAAGCTTTACAAACCTGGATATGAATACAGAAAGTTGAGAATAGAGAGAGTACTAATACGTGTATGAAATACGGAAAACTTCTCAAGTAGCTGTAAACATCAGTTGGATCTTGAAACTGACGAATTAGAAGACCTAAATGCCACAGTTCGTGCCAGTTTTTGTTCAAATATTTAACACCAGAAAAAACAATGATAAATAAGACTGGGAAAGCTAATAAAAAATTTGGAATTTGTTTCGGTGTAAAATATTCTAAAAATCCTACATTCCAGTATCGATTTTGTACATAAAAGTATGACAAAGGAATATTCCAGAAACACCATTTGCTGGGTTCAGAGGGAATTTTGAGATCATTCTTTGTAACGAAATCCCAAACTACCTCAGGCACTTCTGGCTCAGACAGTATATCTGTACAATACAAAAAGTAACAGTATGTCTGATAAGCAATGAATGGAATACTGAACAGGATTAAATACAGGATGATCTTTAATATATTGAATGTTAAAAATAATGTTCTCCTGGAAGACTTGTGAGAAGATATAGCTCTGGAATTGACGCATTGTTTCAAGAGGCAATAAATAATGAACCCAGCAGAAAGTACGCCGTTCGATCGTACACCGGCGCTCAACGAAAGGAGTATCAAAGCGATCACTAATTTACCACTTTCTAGTGCCCACAGTCCTCCAAAAGTAAAGAACGAAAATAAGCTCTCAGAATATAAAGCCGTGAAGAAAATTGAAGCAGGGTTTATAGAAAACAAGAGAGCAGATGTATAGGCGATGATCTCAGAGTGGAAGACAGTATGAGTTAGTTTGTAGAGGAAGACAGTAGCTGCTACAAATAGTATTGTATTCAACACGATTCCGGATAAAATGGAAAGATTTAAATCACTCAAAACAGAAGGAGTGACATAGGATATCCCACTCGATGCTTTCCGTAAAAGTAAAGGAAATAAGGGGAAAAAGGCCAAAGTGTTCTCATGAGTATAGCCATACAAAGCTATATGAAGGAAGTACTGAGCATCCCAGTGAGAAAATCCTGATAATAAGAAAGACACTGCAGCATTAGTAAAACCCTCTTCTGGTACGTGTGGGAGGCGAAACGCATCTGCATCGTGATCAGGAACACAGAAATTAAAGACAACCTGTAACAAAAATTAATTATTGTTAAGCATAAAATTAAATTATAAAATATATAAATGAAAATTCAAATGTTAAGAACCAATTTGAACAATAAAAAAAATTGGTGGTAATGGGAAAGATAACTTAGTTTTAAATTTTCTTAAAATGAAAATAAATAAAAAGTAGCCTGAAAAATACTATGCAGATTTATGTCCTATTATATAAAAAAGAAATTTCACTCATGCACCACCACTGTAGATGGTCACTATGCTGTCACTATGCACACAGACTATGGTCAATGGCGTCTCAAGAACTAAGTTCCAACCTCTTTCATGATCTGATGTTACTTTATGTATCTGATAATAAACTTGATAATATTAATTTAGGGAAATCTTGCGTAATCAAGTAGTAGAGAATAAGAGCAAACACGAACTAATCTTAACTAAAGAGTAAATTTTGAATTTTCTTTAATAAATTTAAGTATATATTTTATTTAGTTGACATAAGGACAAACGCGAATGAAATACCAGATGGGCAAGGAAAATTACCTATAGAAATATATAGGGTATTTCTGAAGATCTTTAGGGAAAGATGAGCATTGTGTGTAAGTTTTAATAGTCAAAATATCAGCAGGTTAGTCTAGCAGCAAATTTTTGGGGTATTTTATTTTTCCTTTTAACTTTAATTTTGGAGATTTTTCCTGAGGTCAACAAAATAGTTAAAAAACATACTAAGTAAAATATTTCAAAGAAATATTTTTGTTAAAACTTAGTAAGTAAATTATAACAAAAATATTTCCCTGAAACTACAAGGAAAGTAGAGTTCAGAAAGTTAAAAAAAAATTTTTAAGCATTTTTTTCCGCTAAGTTTTTACATTTAAAGGCTTGGTTTCAAGGCCGGATTAACCATTAAGCACACTAAGCACGTGCTTAGGGCACCAGAGGATAGGGGGGCACCACAAAGCCTAACTAAATGTTCGCAGTAATTTTTTTTTTTTTTTTTTGAAACATTGATAATAAATTTATTATTTTGAGCTTCCATTTTAAGAGTAGATAACAACCATTTCTAAGTACGAAATTTCACATAATAAAAGAAAAAAAAAAAAACAAAAGATGTTTTGTATCAAAAAGTTTCGGTCTTATAATGAAATTAGGTAGCGAATTTCTATGCGATAAAAGCTCTATTTATTTATCCATTACAATGATTCCATAACATACTGCTACGATTCATGTTTACAGAATATTTTTCGCAGTTGTAGAAGTTAATACTCCAGAAATTTGATATTTTTATGAAAAAAAATTTGATTTACAAAATTTTGATGCAATGGTTTGATGATGTAAAAAATNAAAAAATTTTTTTTAAGCATTTTTTCCCCACTAAGTTTTTACATTTAAAGGCTTGGTTTCATAGGACAAACGCCTTCGATCGGTGTAAGCGTTTCGTTAGTGTCACACTATAAGATGTCGGAAAGAATGGTATGGTAGAACTACGATCGCCTTTGAGCTTGAGCGTTAGCAGATATCTTAAAATAAACAATTGATGGTTGACTGAATGTAAACAATAACAAGCTTCCTAAAACCGAAAGAAATTTACAAAACTTCCAGTGTATCCCTCCGCTTATGTTATGCTTACGAAGCGATGTTTGACCATGCGTAACATTCTAGGAAGTTTTATTATTGTGATTTTTTATTAAATTTACGAGTAATTTCACCATTCATAAGTTAACTGCAATTTATAAATTCTAACAAGTCGTTAGCCTAAAAAAATTTAAGAAAATTAATATCACAGCATAAATAAAGTGTTAGGTTAGCCACGTTTGGTGTGTCATCTCTTTATTTAACTATAATTATGTAAATTATCGCCGTTTACTATTTTTTGGGTAGCATCATAGCATGTTTGCGGTGTCTTACGAATTCATTTTTTATTTGTTTCGTCAAAAGTTAAATTGAAAGAACACGGGATGTTGCGAATACTACAAGTGTAGTAATATTGAATGACGCGCTTTTCCAAGCTTAGGCGTAAAAATCGTTTATATAAAATTCGTTTAACTAAAAATAATTTCATGCAAAAAGTAACTTTAAGTGATTATTTAATGTTTTATTTAATAGTCGAAAAGTTTTGAACTGTAAGGTACAACTTTTTTTTCAGATCATTTTAAAGAATGTAGTTTTACATAACAGAATACAAAATTTGAGCAAAATCGGTCGAAATTAACTTCTTAATTTAATTAGTTCTTGCGAAATTAACCTTTAAATATAGTTTTTTTAAAATTCGATTTCTCAGGAACTATTCGACCGATTTTGCTGAAATTTCGTATTTTGCCATTTAAAATTACACTCCTTAAAATGATGTAAAAATTGTCTACCTTACAATTCAATTTCTTTTTTTTACTATTATTAAATAAAACCATAAATATTAACTGAAAGTCATATTTCACACGAAATTATGTTTGAATAAACGAATTTTATAATTGAAATATTGCTCAAATTTGAAATTCGAGCAATAATGATTCAAATTTGAATTATATTGCTCAAATTTGAAATTCGGGTGTCGAAATATCGTATTGAAAAATATGAATTTAATAAACCATTTTGAAACGGTCGTAATATCGATAAATAACTCCCCCTAAACTTAAGAAAAAAATAGATTTACGACTGAATCCTAGTGAACTGAGTACGTCAAAAATGTATTATTCAAATTTGAAATTCACGTGTCGTAATAACATTGAATTGAAAATACCGGAATTTGGATGACTGTGTAAAAAAGCCGAAAAACGAAAAATATCTAAAAATAATTGCCGGGGAAATAATGTGGATTGACGGCGGAATAGTCGTGAAACATACGCATCAAAAAAGGATTACCTCAAATTCGAACTTCAGGTGTCGAAATTTTATTGTAGTAAAAATACTGAAGTTTGAAAGATAGAGATCACTAAACATGGATAAATAAATATATATATAAAAAAATGATCGGAAACAGATAAGGATTAATGATGGAATCGTTGTTAATCGAGAGCACCCAGAAGTGATTACTCTAATTCGTTGTTACTCTAATTCTAATGATTTACTCTAATTCTAATTCGTATCCACGTTATTCCAAACATGGATAAATAAATATAAAAAAAAAAAATGATCGGAAAAAGATAAGGATTAATGATGGAATCGTTGTTAATCGAGAGCACCCAGAAGTGATTACTCTAATTCGTTGTTGTTGTTTCCAATCCCAGCTGGGATAGCGGAGCTATACCAGATCCATAAGGCCGTGAGTCTTCAAAAAATCGAGGAAAAGGAGAGGTCTCTCAAGAACCTCTTCCATGATGAAATCCAGGCAATCAAGTAGATGGTGAGGACTAGCCTCGCTGGAGTTGCAATTTTTACAAGATGGAAAAAGTTTAATTTGTCCACTGAAAGTGAGGCTCTTAGTATGCCCACTGACAAATCTACAGGTAGCGGTTTGGTCGGCACGTGTACCCTGAATGACAAGGGCTCCTCCAGGACGCTTGCGGGGATACCAATTGTGATCTGGTGGAACAAACCAAGCTTTATTAACTTAAGATTTGCGGATAGAAAATAATTCAGAGTAAATGAGGGCCGTGTTTGGAGAGGCTGGGAGGGAAATACCTTCTTTTGCTAACTGATCAGTACGTTCGTTGCCAAAAAGACCCACGTGTGAGGGTATCCACTGAATATGGATGTCATGGGAAGCTGAGAGGGCATTTAATAAACGAAGTATAGAGACCCAGTCCTGTCCGTAACTCTCTCCCAATTGCTCAGGTGCTGAATACAGCTACGACTGTCCGTGAAGATTCAGACATTCGCAAAAGTGGCTCTAGTCCTGATATTTTCCAGAATTCCAGACCTGTTTGAATAGCAATAAGTTCACTGCGAAACACTGAACAGAAATTTGGATTTCTTAGTGATCTTGATTCGTGGACTTCAGCAGGATATATAGACTCTAATTCGAAATTCGTGTGCTGTAATAATATCGTATTCAACAAATCGGAATTTGAAAAATAAAAAACGATCGGAAACCCGGAAAATCAGAAGCTATTAGCAATTTTTGCTACTGCGTCTTACAATAACTAGTATTTGTTTTTTTGAAATTAGCATTGCGCTACTTGCTGGCAGGGAATGAATAGAAGGGCTAGGTCACTCCTTTGAAGAGACTCGTGCGGCTCCGAGATTCTGATTTCAGTCAGTGACGTCACTACGGTGCCGCATCAACTTCTAGCTTTAAAAATAAATTGTTTCGCATGTAACTAGCATTCTTTTTTTTTATTTTTAAGCTTACTTCAATGCATTCTTTGTTTTCGTTAATTTTTTATTTTGAATAAATTTTCTTCTCATCTGAATGAAAAAATTTAACAGTAGTAATCATATATCAGATAGTGACCAGCAAGAATTACTATAAACACAAAATGAGGAAACGTAATTTTTCATATTTGATTTCAGAAAATATAAAAGTGACATCAAATGAATCATAAAATGCACTAGAAGAATTTCCTTAAATAAAAAAGCATTAAGTTTTTTTTAGACGTTTAACTTTTATTAGCCACTGAAATTGATACCGTCTCGTAATTTTAAACAGACAAGAAAAAAAAATGTACAAGGTGAAGAAAAATAAATTCCTGAACTTGAAAAATAAAAGTTATGAATGCTTAAAAATTCTTCCAATTTCATAATGAATGTATTTTTTAATATCATTATTTAAAATATTGTGTTTTAGGGTTATAAATTTGGTTCCCATGATCAGTAAAAATTCAAGAGATTATTGGTTCAGATACAGAGGACGAGAAAAATGCTGCAGAGTTATACGTAATTGCAAGAATCCTTTCCACAGAATTCAGCTCAGTCTATGCATATGCAGACTGGAGAGTAACTCATCCAACATGTAAAGTACTTCTGTATGATACTGATGACAAAATGAATTGTGGTTGAATAAATTGTGAAAATACTGAATGGAACATTGCAAAAATTATGTTTTTTTTAGTAATTCATGATCACAAAGCAAAGAATAATCTCATTTAAAAAAAAAAAAAAAATAGAAGAAATTGAAGTAGTTTTTACAATACACCCAATAAAAAAAGTGTGTTTAAGGTCTTTTCAAAAACACAATTTAACACCTCTAAGCACTTTTTAAAAACCCTATGCACCCTTACTGCTTCATTGTCTTTGATAATCTGAAAATTAGGATACAGCAAGGACTAATCACTAATGCAGCAGTTTCCAATTTTTTTCAGCAACAGAACCTTAAATAATCAACCTACTTTCGGAGGAACCCCAACTTTATAAATAAAGTTCAAAGTAATTACGGACATTATAACCTATAAGGGACTATATTTAAAATATTTATTTAGAAAAATGAAGATTTTCCATCGTTTTATCACTAATAATCTTAAATTTAGTGTTATGGCCTACAGTTAAATTTGCAGTCCTTGAGCTACATTTAGTCTAGTCATGAATTTGATTCTGGTGCACACACATATAATGAAAAGGATTAAAATAAGCTGAATTATGGATTACTTTGAAATAAAAACTTAAAAGAACTGCTATAAATGTTGAAAATGGTTATTATGGAAACATATTTCTTTATTAAGGAGTTTTGCTATTTTGATTTGAGAAGCGCAATAGGAAATACTAATGGAATATTTTATAAATGCTTGTTTTTTCGTAATTTATTCAATATACTGTTATTAGAAACATATTTTCCTTCAAAAAATAACATTTTACTTGAAATAATTTTGTTAAAGACAACCGTTAGATTAAATAAATTATGAATTATAGGTTTGGATCTAAATATTATCCGAGGTTTCAAAACTCATCACTGGTTATAAAAAATGCTAAATCCTGGAACCCTTTTAACTCTTCAGCAGAACCCTAAGGTTTCACAGAACACCAATTGGGAACCACTGGTCTAATGCAATTTCCCTTCACAAGGATGAAAACTTTTAGAAAATAGTACATGTAAGAAGACCTGCTTGTGCATAAGCGAATGGATGTGCAAGGACTAAATCTGATGACATGAGAATGACTGTTTATGAACATTTCAGTTTTCTGGGCTAAATTATTAAAACATTTCATGAATAAAACCCTGCTGGAATTATTTACCTATACATTATTTTAAGGTTATCTGACAAGGGTTATATTTATATATATGGTTACATATTTTTTTTACAAAATAATAATGTTATTAAATAATTTTTATTTTTTCATAATTTTGAATGTTTTTAATGAACATACAATATATTTAAAAGGAAATAAACATAACTTAAATTTTATAAACATATAAGTTTTTTTTTTTTACATGTTCCATACTAGGTTCATTATTTTGAGTGTCTTCTGTTATTAATGTAACTGTTATAAGGAAAAACCTTCATTAGTTATAATTACAAAGTAATGAAAGTTGGTTATGAACTCAATTTTCTCTTAGTATATAATTTTTTCGTGTACAATAGTATTTTATTTAATTCCCTGCTGTTGTAATTACAAATTTAGTTTTACAAGACTAGGCATTTATGACCCAAATTTAATCAAAATGTTTGGCAGGAAAGTTTAATTTCCAGTATAATATGCTGTATCAAAACTTTGTCCAGTTTAGAACACTCATTAGAACTCAAATGAATATAAAATGTTTCCAGTTATAAAATCCTTATAATTAAAAATAGGCATAAATAATGTAAATCAATAAACTTAAATTATCTCTTTGCATTCTTATCAATCAACTCAAATTAATGCCATTTAAAGTAGGCAATATAAAAATGAAAGAATCTTTAATAATTAAGCTACGTAAAATATACCTTTGGTAGGAAAACAATGGTTTGAAAATATTTTATAGACTAATGTAACAGTTATAGACTATATATAATGATATAACATATAAATTTTGTGTAAATTATTTTTTTTTACATGTATATGTATTAAAGTAAGGAAGAAAATAAATGTATGTGTTGATAATATGTTATAACGATAGATTTTTTCCTTTTTTTTGGAGCGAAGGAAACAAAACTATTCTTCCTTCAGAGGAAGTTCCATACTCGTTTTATAATACAACATTAAAGGAGTTACAATAAATATTTGCTTATTCAGTAAAGAATAGAAACTAAACATAAACAGTGCTCTATGTGCAAAGACAATTTTAACTAGTAACTTTTAGAAACGTACTAAAACACTAATCTAAAGAGAAAATAAATAATTTAGAATAAGCACTTGCAGCAATTAATGAATAATATAATTAACAAACATTTTACCTGTAAAAATATTATAATAATTCGGCAAAATAAAGAAAATTTCAACAGACGGCAGATCATTTTGTGGCTGCCATTACAACGATCACAAATTTTATTATTTATTATGTATTTTGTAAGTATTTTCGAAATAAATTACAACTATAAATGGCAACTCAAATTTCACAACTTGAAATTTTAAAGACAGTACTTATTCTTTATTTACATACTCATGGTGAACTATTCAATAGTTTATAAATTTACGGAAAATCATTTGCAAAAGGAATAACTATATACACATAATTATTTTTATGTTCAATACAACACCTGTTAAATTTTATTTAAAAAATGTTTTTTTTGTGTTAATTTATTGCGCATGCGTTGCGAAGCGGTACAGTTCAGAATTTTTCTCTCGTGAGTGTTCATAACAATAATATAATAATAAACATTCAAAATGTCGCATCCACATCGCAGGCGTCGGTCACATCATGAAGCTATTATTGAAAATCAAGATAGTAATAGCAGCAGTAACACAGGAATAATTAATATAATTACTTCTAAAAAGCAAGGGATAAATACTTTTGCTAATGATGGAAGCTTTTTGGAATTATTCAAGAAAAAAATGGAAGAAGAAGCAAAGGGTGAAACCAGTGGAACGTCTGATGGCGAGGGCAGTAAAAGTGCTGATGAAAAACTTAAGAAATTAGACAGTGCAGTAAGTTATCAACTACAACTTTAGTAATTTGTTCGGTTGTTAATTTGCAATGATCACTCATTAAGTCAATCTTGAGTTGGAGTATCTGTTAATATTCGACACAACAATTTGTATCAGTTTAACTTTAAATAAACCGCAATATATATGTAATTAAATATATATATATAGTATATATATGTATAATTAATATATATAATTAAAGTGACAAAATGTAACTGTGCAAAGAAAGTAAAATACCATGTAGTTCATTAGCAAAGTTATATATTTAAGTCTGTTAACACAATAAGATTAAACATACATTTTGGTCTCATATCATAAAGGATCATAACAAAATCATAAAGGAAAAAAAACTGTAGGTTACTTGTAGCTTGAGGTATAGGGGAGATTTCCATATCGTGATCTATGCCAGAATAATCGCAAAGACTTTGCAACTTTCTGGCAGTGTTCGACGTTAGAAATTAAAAAGAAAAAAACATCACAGAACAGGACCAACTTGAAAAATATAACTCATAGCCACCCCCGGGGAAACATCTACATGTTCTGTTTTTTTTTATTTTAAATTTGCAAGTGTAAAATTTATTTGGCTCCTTGGCGATTTTAGTTGGTGCGACAGATTGTGCCAATGAAATATTCCAAAATATAGTTCACATCAGCATAAATAAGCAACAAATATATAAATTGTGCTTAAAAGTATTCCGTTACTTTAATTTCAATGAGAGGGAGATTTCTGTATCGTGCTCTGTGGCATAATAATTGCGAAGTCTTGGCAACTACCTGTGAGAATCTTAAAAAAACATCAGAGAAAGGGACCAACTCGAAGGGGATAACTCGTATCCCCCTCCATCTACAGATCACGATATAGAAATATTCTTTCAATGAGCATCTTTTATTTTAAAAAGAATGTTCTAAAAGTTAAACTGTTAAAAAAATTTTAGGCATTGGGGCAAAAAACATGTTTTTCGGATATGTGACCATAATATAAATAATATAATAAAAAAAATAATTCTAGTACTACTGCCTAACCAGAATATGGAGCAAATTAAAAAATATTTATTTAATGAAAAAACGCTCAATGTTTAGTGTATAATATATAAATTTCGTTAATTTTATTGTATTTATTTATTTCTGATGGTAATATGTCCGTATGTCATGTGTAATTATTCTTTTTTATGCACACACATCTTACATATGCCTTCTTAAGGAATATCTTTTCAAACTTGATAATCACTTTCTTATTTAGCTTTCAAGAAATGATTAAAATTACTCCAAAACAGTCAAGAATGTATTTTAAGAAATCAGGGATAGAAAGAATATTTTTTTCTTCTTTCTATTATCAATGTGCAGAACTCAGATTTTTTTTTTTGTGATATGGAGTAATTTATATTAATGGTATCAAGTTTTCAGTGAATGACATTTCTGTGATGAAGAATTGGTCTGTTTTATTATATGTTCTGGAAAAGGAAGGTTCTTCCGATCATCAGGGATGAGATTTTTCCGCTTTTTAGCGGATTTCCGCATTTTTCACTTTTATCTCTTGAATTTCAGCTTTTTTATCAAAAATTCAGATTTTTCTAAAAATTTAACTTTTTTTAATAAGTATTCCGCTTTTTCAGAAATTCACCGATTTTCAAAGAGAAACAGAAAATTCAAACTACATAGCTACCAATCCTTTCTCATTTTGACTTATTTTAGCTATTTTTTCCCCTTTTACTTGCAGCAGATAAGATTTTCCGAATTTTTTACCCGCCCTCCAGATAGGTCCGATTTTTCTAGTTCAAACGACTCTGCATCTGACAAGCCTTTTATAGGTCCCAAGCCTGGAATCTGCTAATATCTCGATTCTTATTCACACGATTTGAATATTGTAGGTAGTAACCAGGTAGTTTTTCAAGTAATAATTGTCTCTTATGTGAACTGAGGAAAAATATAATTTCCAGCTTTATTTTTTCAATTGGTAATTTTTATTTTCACTAAATGTTAAGTATCAATGTAATCATTTATATAATAATAGATTAGTACACAATTGTATGTCAACACATTATTTATTACCTTAAACTGTCTGGAATTTATTATTAAAGGGTTGCGCTTGCGTAAAATTTACTATCGTGGAAATTCAGCTTTTTTGCCTTTTGGCTAATCTCATCCCTGGATCATACCTTATCATAATATTTTATTAATGGTTATTTTAAAATCATTGGCTGAAAGTTTTCTGAGGTATTTTTTGTGAAACTAAGCTTTTACCATTTGCAGAAAGTTAATGATTTAAATCAAATGATTGAATCATAATTTTAATTACTTTTTCTTTAATTAAATGTCTCAAAAAAATTCTTTTTTAAAAAATTATTGAATTCTAAAGAGAGAAAAAATATGTAAGAACTTTTTTATTTTTTTAAGGCCGATAGAAAGATGCAATAAAAAACCAATTATATAATAAATAATACCAATTTCGGGTGCTCATACCTTACATCGAGTATTTTAATAGAATAATTTCTTTTTTATCCTTTTTAACAGTTTGTCAACAAATGTCAAGTTTTAGAACTTAAAAAATACAAATACTATGAATTTGGTAAGGTATTCTTTTACTGCTTATTATTTAATTTACATCTTTATCTGTTATATGTATGCTGTAACTGAATACTTGATGCAGAAAAGAACGTAGTAAATAAAATATAAAACATCAATTATTGAATGTTATTTTAAATTTTATTATTGCCAAAAATAACTTGATCCGACAAGGAATCTCTGCAATAGTTTTGCACTACTGCTGCTCATAAACATGGTGACTTTTAAAAAAAAAATGATCGTTTTTCCTTTAGAGGGAAAATTAATGATTGAACCAAAAATTTTATAAGTTATATGTAAGTGAAATATTTTATTTAGGTACAATTGAAACTCGATGATTTATAAAACAACATCATTAGTGTACAAACAATGTTTCACTGTATTAATAATAGTGAAATAAAATTTTAGATTTTTAATTGTTTATTATAACTTGTAAATGAAACATTTTAACTTTAGGATTTTAACTTGTAACGATTTTTTGATTGTTCATATACTAGTTGCTTTGCTTTAATCATTTATTAGTTCATTGTTTTATATCTCTATGAAGCAGCTTGATTTATAAGTGTATGTTACAACTTAAAGGTAGTGTTTGGTATGCTCCCAATTGTTGCCCTTTCAGGCTGTAATAAAATGTAAGGCTGTTCCAAGAAGATATCCCTTTCTAAGGGTGCATGGATTATGCTAATGGTGGAAGTGCTTTATTTCTTCTCAGGTGAAGAGACGTGGTGGAAAGGTGCTCAAGACAGGCATGGTTAAGAAGCAGAAGGTTGAAGGTTCACATGAGGTAAAGTCTGATTTATCTATTTATTTGGATCTATAATGTCAGAAATCTAACAGATTCAAATACTTTTAGGGTGGAAACAAATTTAGTTTCTATCTAATTTGGTGACTAGAAGAACATAGATTCTATCCACAAATAAGTCAATCTATAGTGTGGCTTTCAGGAGAACCCCTCCCGACAACCATCTCTTGTCGTGGCGGGTACTATGGTAACGAGGAAAGGTCACTTCGAATAGGTGTGTGGAGTGAATAGTTTTGTCTTTATCTTAGCGTAGTTCGTCCTTAGTAAACCAATTGACACCTTCTCTCCTCCATTTCATCCCCACAAGAAATGTGCTATCGCTTGTTACCATATCAGCAGGCAGCCCTAGACTTTCAGTCTGGAGGAGTTCTCCTCAAAGCCGCACTATATATGACTCCTTATCATCTTGGCTCTCATGTTTGTTATTTTCTTCTGGTATAAATCCATGTTAAAAAAAATGAGGACATAATTCCTGCATGCACTCTATGAGCCTCCTGTGAATTTATTTAATGATTTTGGAAAAGCTAAATCAGCCTTAGATAAATTATAGAAAACTAGAACTAGTTTCATCATTCCATTCTTTTAAAATAAGATATATATTTGTCTCAAATCAAAACTCCAAGTACAAGTTACTGGCAAATTTGTCAAACTACAATTCATATAAATATATAAAAGAAATAGGAAATAGTACAAAAATGGAAATTGATGTGGAAGCACTGACAGACATTGCTGTGTTATCGGATGAGGGAGGCTGATTTTACCATGTTGTTAGGATGGGAGTTTCTGCGGTTAATGGTAAAATACTGCAAACAACCGCATCCCCTACTGCCCCCAAAAAGTTAAAATTTAAACCAAAAGTAAGTCAGATGAAGACTATATACTGAGATCACGGAAATGGAAGTATATAAATTTAACAAAAGGGAAATATTAAATTTTTGCATGAGTCAGGAGTCACTGATTTCGAGTATTGAATTATGTAAGTGTGCCAAAAAGGTAAAATGTGGAGAATCAACAAAAAAAATTTAGACTTAAATAAACACCAAATTTTTCCAATTGTTTTTATTTTTTAATCTTCAATGAGAAAAGTTTATTAATGTTGAAAAAGACTATGAAAAATAGAATTTTCTTTAAAATGTCTTATATCATTCAAAATTGTGTTCCTTAAGAATCCATCCATTTGTGGTGAAAAGAGAGTTCTTAAACAATTCATATATTTTGAAGTTGTAATGTATATCTTAAATGTATTTTGCCTCCCCAAATTTTTTTGAATGATGTTCTTTAAAGTCGGTAAGTTTAACTAAATTTTGTCAATGAATTAACTTTTTACTGTCGTAGATTATTTTTAAAGTAATTTTAAAAAAATAAATAAATAATAATCCAAGCAAAAAGTGGCTATTAAATGAAAAGGATCTATCAATATAGGTTACCGACTCATTGATTTGGAGAATAAAATGGCTACTAACTGAAAATTTAAATTTTCAGGTCTAGCACACAGTATTTTTTTAAGTAAATAAGTAGCCAACACACTTTAATATATTCATCTTATAATCACTTTAATGATGAAAAAGCTCTAATATTTAGCCCTTACTTGAATGTCTTAGATTGTTAAGAAAAGATCAAAACATTTGAATATCCTAATGACATTAAAGGTTGGTGTGTTGGTGTTTTGTATCAATACAAATGTCTTGTACCCTCAGGAGGTTTCACATTTGGGCATATTTAGGAGTAATGTCTGAGGTGACAAACCTGACGTGATACCTCTAAATATAGTGATGGACCTCCTATAGCTCGATGAAGTGCAGCAACTTGACGTGGCATAGACTCAACAAGTAGGTGGAAGTCTCCTGTAAGAATATTCAGCCTCAATAGATGTCTATGATTGTGAAAGTATTACAGGTGCAGGATTTTGCACACAAACATTGACCTCTTGAATTTTATTCTATAAATGTTCAATGGGATTCTTGGAGCATTCTCTGGCATTATCCAGAATGTTCATCATGTTGGAAAATGTAAACAAATAAATTGGCAGTGTTTAACTCTCAGCTATGTCACTTCCTGTTATGTCTCAGCTAGAAAGAAGTGGGTGTTTTTGTAGTTAGTTATGTTCTTCTCTTGAAGAGTTATGTTTAGTTTTGTTGAGTGTAATTTTCTTTCTTTGTATTTAAAGTTTTATCTTCTAAATAAACATATTCGTACAGTTTTCTGCGAAATGACTTCTTCAGTTTAATAGATATCTGCAATATCTGAAACTTAATAAATTGGTTCTCTTTTTTTGGTAGTCATTGATCTGAAGCCCATCCAGCTTCAGATCAATGGCTACCAGTTTGTGCGCAATAGTGACTCCATAGCCATAGTGACGCTGTTTGTTGCAAAATTGCTGTGTTACGACACAAATGAGCTGTTGCGGAAATACTTAAATACAATATTTACTATTTTTTTAAGAATTTATTATTGAGAATCTTTTTTGAAATTAATTTTTAGGAACCTTCACCTACATCTGATGCATGGACTCGTTACTTAGCAGAGGTTAAAAAATATCGTCAGCAGGCATGTGATGAAGATGGAAAAACCAGACCCCTTGTTAAATAAGTTAAACAAATAATTTGAAACTTCTATTTGTAAATATATTTGTATTTAACATTTCCATTGTGTGTCTTAACCTAACGTCATCATTTTGTATTTGGCATTTTGTGATCTACTATTAATGTATATTTTAGTTTTTGTATATTTTATTCTATCTTAAACAGTGATAACTTCTCTTAAATCTTAACTGCAGGAAAAGTACATCTTAGTTCAATTTAAAATTTTCAAAAGTTAATTTATTTGTTCTCATTTTATAAGCTTATGATTTTTTAATGTTTAGAGCTAATTACTTTTTATTATCAGATTATAATTAGTTCAGTATCAGTGAGAAGGTCGGTAATAAAATAATTGTGACAGTTTATTAATGCAATTGTGACTTGATAAAAAAGTAGAAAATAAAATTTAATTTTGTTCTTTTCCTCATTTTTTTGTCTCTGTTAACTCTTTATAAATAAAACATATAAAAAATAAATGGATTTTATTTGTTGTAAGTTAAGAAAAAACCATTATCCCTATGGAGAAAGCATGTTTGCATTTAAGTGCACATCACATAGATGCTAAGCTCAAACTAAGCGCCAACTCTGGAAATGACGTTGCGCAGCCTTCTTTTTGCTTGCTTACTTAAATTGTGTGAAATGAGGAAATCAAAACAGCTAAAAAGTAATAAGAATTAATAAAAATGATATCTAAAAATCGTTACATATATACACCTTTCTCTTCATTTAAAGAAACTGATGAAAGATGTTTCTTGTAGATGATTTTTTCTTCTACAGCAAAACAAAAGTAAAAATTCTTTATCTCACATTTGATTTGTTCATGTCAGCTTAAGACTTGCCATTTTTTGTGGTCCAATTGAATCACATGCTCTTGCAACGTCATATAGTTGTTTCTTTTATCAAGAACGAATGATCTTCTTATTTATCGAAGTCCAGGATTTCAGTAAGACTATAAAACTATAACCTTTTTTTAAAAAATTTTATGATATATATTGTAAAAGATAGCAAGAATTATATTTTTGTCTGGCGTGTTTAACTTTTAAAGCTTTTATATTGTTTTGAAAACATATTCATAAGATAACGAAATAGAATGGAACTAAATGCCGTCACATAAAGCTTATTTAAATCCTATGGCGCAAAGGCCATTTCTTAACTTGCAACGGAGTATAGTAGTTATTGGTAACACATAAGTTTCACTCAAAGTTGCAAAAAAAAAAAACCCCCCCCAAACAAATAAACTTTTATGAATGAAATTATAGTTTAAATACTGAAACATGCATATAATTATAGAGATGTTTAAACAGACATTACTTCACTTATCTGCTTAATGAAAATTTATTAATGGTCTATCAATTATTGGTAGCAACCAACTGGAATACATTGCATTTTAAAATAAAATAGAGTAAACAGCCTAAACTTTACAATAATTGGTTTAATGATAATAGTCGAGTGATATATTTCAGCTTCTGGCTTGGAGATCTTTATAGCTAGTATTGATATATTTAAAAATTAAACACTTAATACATAAATTTTAACTGGGGACAAGTATTTTGATAAAATACTACCTTTGTGTATATTTCCAATCATTTGTCATAAATCAAGAAAAATATGTTTTACAGACAAATAATGCTTAAGTAAATTTTGATAATATTTTGTGTTGACCTATGGTTCTAACATTTAAATATTTATATGCATTCTAAGTTTTTTTAAAAATGTCTTATATTTTTGTTAATTTTTCAAAAAATTTAGAACTAAAATTTCCAAAACACTGAACATCTTTTCTTCAGATAATTTTTTATTGCCATAAGAGGTATAGACTTTTTCAAATTTATGATCTAAGCTATGATGACGCTGTGGTAAATTCACCAAGCTGTTATAGAATTGGATTATGGTTTCCTTCAGTGGCTGCTTGAAGCTCACTCAGGGTTATATGGGAAGTTAAGGTGGTTAGTGTGTAATGCTGACCACACTGCCATTTTCATGCAATGTGGTTTAAAAATTGTGAAGCTAAAACCTTCATGAACAACAACTGGCTCTTTTGACATACTTGACTTATTTATGACTTGTTCAACAATTTAAGAAAAGAAAAAATTCAAAATATGTTCCTCTAGAATATTATTAGTTCCTATTCCAAAACTGAGCATTGTTTAGATATTTTCAGAGTTTTTGAAATTAATACAGAAATATGTTGTACTTTTGGCAGTAATTTATTCAGAGTCACTTGAAATTTTTGAATATTATTTAAAAAATTCAATAATTTTTAGCAAAGTAAAAAATTTTGTTCTCCTTAAAAAAGTATTCTAGTAAAAATGATAAATTTTTTAAAATTTGCAGTGGAATCTCCATTATGCTACCTTCAGTAGTTTTCACTTTAATTGGGTCACGTATTTGTGTTTGAGTAACACAAAAGCAAACTGAATATAGACTATTTTTTTTTAAATATTCTTAAATTTATTTATCCAATATTTACACCAATTATAATGATTCTCCATTTGTGGTACATCTATTGTATGACAAAATTTATTAATATAATCATCATGCAATTAAGATAATATTACATAAAAAAACTAAAATGAATTTCATTTCCTCAAAAAGAAAAGAACTACAATAGAGCTTGCATAAAATAAATTTCTGTTAAAATAAGTTTTTACTTTTTAGCACAATTTCACTTAACAACATAAATTTTAACTTAAATTTAGTATTGACTAGATTTTCTTAACAGTAAAAACACAAATAAAACTTTTTTATTACTGAGTGTGATCAGTAATTTCATAACAATTTTCAGGTCATTCAAATCTAAAAAATTCCTCTATGCATTCAAAACTTCTTTTAAATGCTTAGTTGTAACTAAAAGAGTACCTCTACACTACTGCATTTGCAACGCATTCATAATTAGAATTCATTGTTTAGAATAGTACCTGGTCCAGGCTTGAATTAATGTAAAGTGTTATACAGTTCATATTTTTAAATATCTAGAAGTAATATTAAACATAATGCTAAACTTAGCTTTGTATCAAGAATCCAGAGCAAGCTGACACAAGGATATGCATTATGTTTTTAAAAATGCATTTGTACAGTTAATGGTTTACATTTCAATTGAATTATTTGTAGAAAGAACTTTAAAAACAAAAAAATAGACTTAATATTTTTTTCCCTCTCTGTATTAAATTTTCTAATATTTATGAACATTGAATTTTTTCATTCTAGGCCTTTTAATTCATTATATGTTAATTTCACAAAGTACTAAAAAATAATTTATAAAAAGGTAAAACTAGTTAAGGGACAAAATCAAATGATGATTTTATGCAATAGGTGTAAGTCTAAAAAAATAATAAATTTAAACATACGATATAAAAAATGGCAAGTTATGGGTAATGGACATTTAAAAAAAAAATTATTTTTAAGCAATTTACTTAATATATTCAATTAAACACATCATCATTATAGATAATATTCCTTCCCATACCATGTATTTTACTTAGCAAGTACTAAGTTCAATAAATGAATCAGTAAACAAATTATTCTTTTTGATATGTGTAATTAAGTCTAGTACTCCATAATAAAATAAATAACAAAATACCGTATTTTGTTCATACAATAAAATTTGATCAAAACTTTGGGAAAATAATGAGACTCCTTTTTAAGAAAAGTCATAATTAGAATTCATAGAGAAATAAGTATGTGGTATCAGTAAAGAATAAAGTAATTTTATTTTTCTTTTAATAACAAGGAAACATAGTTAACCCCTAAACTCTATCATTTAAACAATTATGGTAGTAAACTTTCTAATCATCAAATGAGTAATTTATATAAAAAGCTCTTATTCAAATATACTTCAGAATGAAGTAACACAGGACATCAACTAAGATAATTTTTAAAATGATATACAAATGTTTAAATAATGCAAAATCCTGTACAGATGATAATGAATATAGGAATGTGTCTTATCAACATCATGAGTTAAATCACACACAAATCACAAATATCTCTAACAAACTTCTAACACCAATAACTGGATTAGACTTGATGTACTTGATTAAATGATAATAGTTTATGTAAATAAGATTTATCCTTCTTTGTCACCCATCTTCACTTTTGAGTTCTGAAAAAAAAGAGAAAAAATAACTAAATAATTTAACAATCATCTAATGAGCATTATTTTTTTTAGTCACTTTTTTCTAAAAAATACAGCGATGTGAAAAAGTTAAATCAAGATTTTCAGCGTCAAATCTTTCATTAAAAAATTAAGAACAATTTTTCGTTTTGATTTCCACCTAACTTTCTCTTTTACAAAAAACGTTTGTTTTTATAGCCTTTTTATTTTTCTCAACTTTACAACTATAGTTTTTTTTTAATACCTGCTAGTTTTTGTAGTTTTCCTTCCCATGTAACCTAAATGTGGGTCAGTTCTATCAAAAAGTTCTCCACGAAGGCAAATACCTGATCGAAGAGTTTCCTTGTCTTCTGATTTGGGTTCAAAATTACAAGGTTACTGAGTTAAACATAAATTGTCGTAAACCCAAAAATTGGGTCAACTGTTCAAAGACAAACGGCTGTTCACATGTTAAATTTTTATCATTGTGGTAAATTTTTTATTTAGTATAACTTTCAATCAGGCTAATTACCCCAATAAATACAAAATATCGAAATGAAACTTTATTTACTTTCTTGATTTATGTCATTAAAAAAGCACGTGGTCTAATGTTCAGCTTTCTAACTCAATGGGAAGTGGGAGAATTAGTGATAAGTCAGTGAGTGAGAGCTTTACCTTTTATATATACAGATTGAAACTCATATCCTTTAGTATGATATTTTAAACTGTAATATTTTTAAAATAAATGAAATCTAGAATGAAAAAATAACTAGCTTCAGTTAAATACTTATTAGAAAAGCTCATTCATTTTAATCCATAATTTCAAATCAGCATTGTTAAAAATCAAAAACTTATAGTCTTGCAGCACATCATTACATATAGTTGCTCTTATAACATAACCCAGTTAACTCGATGTGAAGTACAGTTTTTTCTTAAAAAAGTCATCCATGGAAAACTTATAATATACTATTTTTTACATTTCTGTTAATCTTTAGAGAACATACTATTACAAATATTAGGGAGACCGGAAAGTAATGTCGTTTTGGCACATTAAATATTCATTAGTCATAAAAACCAATTAATTTTTTTCTATCCCGCATTGAAAGGTTGTTGCTAACGAGGGTGAATACATTATTGATTAAAAATAAAATCTTCATAACAAACATCAAATGCACCAAAACAACATTACTTTCCAGTCCCCCTAATATAATGAAATTCTATTGCAAATTTTAATAGTTTATTAATCATGAAGTAAAACTTTTGCACATGATTAGTATACAATAAGATTTAATTGTGTACTAACCATGTGTAAAAAGCCCAACAATAAAATAATTTTTTTTAAATTGATATTTTTGAGCACCAACCACTCTTCCCAGAATTGTGGTACAAAATAGTTTTGACCAATCAAAAAATGTTTATTAAAATTTCTTAAAAAAGAACAGAAATATTTTTAAATAAAGAAATATACTTTATAAAGAAATATATGTTATAAAAAAAAACATAATTATAAAATATATAATAAAATTATTACCATGATAATAGCAACAATAAGACCAAAAAGACCTATGGCACTAGCAAAAATCTCCACTATTAATATTTTCACAAACAGAGCAGGGTTCGCAGCATCAGCTAAAGCAGCACCTGATCCAACAATGCCTACAGCCAATCCACAGAAAAAGTTGCACAATCCTACCGTTATACCAGCACCAAACATAACATAACCTAAAAAATATAATGATTAAAAGATTTTTCCTGAACTATTAATATTTTTTGTTATAAACCAATAGATACTTACAGCTCGCCATGAGAAAAATGGAATGTTATTTGCAAAAATAAAAATTATATGTTATAATAAAAACATATAAACATAAAATATTACCATTAAAAATAGAACAGTAACTAAAGAAAGGGAACTTAATTTAGAAGACTTTGGCAGTTCATGATGATTGTTCAACTTTTATTTTTTTAAAACTTCTACAGTAGTGACTTCTTAAAGTTTATTATAATCTCTTGTCAATAAGAACAGATTTTTGATTTTAACCATTTCCAAACAATATTTAATATTAAAAGCAATATTCATTGTGTAGAATTCAGTATATAAATTTCCTAGTCTTTTTATATACATCTTGCACTAGAAAAAACTAGGCTGCAACTGAGGTGAGACTCGAAAAAAGAGAGGCTTTAGTTACTTCAATTATGAAAAATAGTTCCCAATATAGTTTCCACATGCGTAAACTAGCAGCTAAAATAGTCTTCTTCCTCTAACATATTTTTTATGCTTATATAACATAATCTAAATGTTCTTTTTTTCCCTGAGAAACCTATACTGTATGTGTGTGTGTGTATATATATATAGGGCCCGCACTAAGGATTTGAAATTATTAGCCAAATATCTAAAGTATTCTCAAATTTTCGAAAGTCTCTGCCAAATGCAAACTTAAAATTTTTTTTATGATGAATTTTTTTCCCATAGAAAACTATTTTACGGTAGTTTTTTATATTGTATAAAAGTGTTTGTTTGTATCCTATAAAAGTGAATATTAAGTAATGTAATTAAAAGTCATTCAACATATATCGAAATAAATATCGTTACTAGGTTGAACGAATGTCACTGTCAGAGCAAATTGTTAACAGAGGTAACGTAGGATTCTCGAAAGTTAAATTCTTGTATTGTTATATAGTTTTTTTAAAAATGTTTTCTGCTTAATCGGAGTTCCGCTGCATTGAAATGAAAGCAGTGTACCTACATAAGTTTTATATAGATATTTTGGGATGCATTGAAATATTGCCCAGTCTTGCATTTTTGTAAAGTTATGCATGATCAGGGATTATATACAGGGTATCTGCTACATTTTACATTTTCAAATTCATGACTTTCCATGATTAATTCCAAGAGTTTTTCATGACTTTAACGAAGTTACTATTTTTACCGACAAAAACACAACAATAAATTTAAAAATGCATTATATTAACATTCATTGAAATGATAGGTATAACCAACATTGTTATACTCTGCATCTTCATATTTATAGATTTTAAATTTTAAAAACAGACTAAAGAAAGAGTTGAAGCAATAAAATAACTGAAAAAAAAATACAAAAGCAAATAATTTTTTTTCTGCTGAGTTACATTCTAAAGATACTTTTCTTGTTCATCGGAAAGAAATACTCCCGATTTTTTCTGTTCTCATTTCGGAATAAAAATTTGGCCAACGACTGGTTTGCTTCAATTAGAATTTTAAATTGATGAAATAAAAATAAAAAATTCTGAAATCACAGAAGTTTAAAAGATAATTTGCTCTGGAAATGTTTTTTCTTTCATTTTTTAAAAAAGAACACCATAATTTTTAAAGATCACGATAAAAACATTTTATATTTTAATTAAATATGACTGTGAGTGGGGATTTTATTACAAATTCAGATATTCGGAACACCATGAAATTGGGGAGAGGGAGTTAAATTCCAATTTAAAAATTAGATTTTTCAGTGACCTAAATTCATGACTTTTCATGATTTTTTTTAAAAAAATAGTTAAAATCATGACAAATTTTGTTCAATACCGAAATTCATGACTTTCTAGGTGCGCAGATACCCTGTATATAATAATGCTAATAGTTAAGCTCATTTTCACAGATTGGATGTGGGACAATGTGGTGATGGATGAATAGAATAATATATCATTTATATTAGTACATATTACTAGAAATTAATAATTATTGCTTTCTTTAAAATTAAGATTTTTTACTTCTTATAAAAATATTTTACAAAAGAAAAGGTCACAAAAATAACATGACAGTATGTAAACCTCTGACTGCAACATAAAAAAAAAAAATTTCAAATAATGAGTTGTAACTTTGGTGAATAAGAATCAAAAGTCAATTTAATGCAAATCACGATAAGCATTACGTTAATTGCCTTCATACAGTCATAAGCAGTTTGCAATTCGTGGGAAATGAAATCGAATATGAAGTATCTAATTGTGCTTAACAGCAGCAAAAACTATTCATAGAAAATTAATCAGAAAAGGTAAAATTTATTTTTACACTAATTATTGGTGTAAAATTATGAAAAGTTAAGTATTTATGTATTACACAACATTTCTGTACAGCGATGCCTAAGTCACCAAGTTCAGCTACATAAGTGCAGCAAACAATCGCATTATCGTTTTACACACAGAGAAAGCATTCTCTCATTTCCATGCGTATGTGTAAGAAATTCTGCATAGAAAAATTGATGAAGGCAAAATTAGAGAATGGCGAGGAAATTTCATACGAATTTTTTTCAAAAGCATTTTAAAGTTTTCAAGGACTTGGTACCATTTTTAAGTACTTCTCATTGAACATTGAAAAACTAAAGTCCTTAAGATTTTTACAAGGTCACAAAAAAAAAATTATTTTAAAAATTTCTTTAAATCCTAAAGCTTGAGCTGTAAATAACAAGACATAATAAATACAATTATTGAAACTGCATAGAAATTATGTTATAAACAAAATCAAACACTTACCTGACATGAAATTCAAGGCCTTCAATTTTTGATCCGCCTCAATTGTTTCAATGTTAAAATACTAGTATGAAAAAAATAAATAAATTAGAAAATGAAGCTAATTTTCACGCAGATTTGATTTTGCCACTTTATTGATCACTAATAGACACCTTAATACTGTTATAAAACATAATAGAGTAAAATTGTATATTTAATAGTTTTCTGTAACTTTATTCATTGAAAAAAGTAATAAACAATGGAATTAGTAGATTGTTCATTGACGATGCACTTTTATCAAAGTGTAATTATCAATTATATTGTTATTTAGTTAAATAGTCAATCAATTATATTATTTAGTTGTGATTAATTTCTTTTTTAACAAATAAGTCTCAAGTTTCTCACATATAATAATAAGCAGGTGTACTGTACACATTGTTGTATACAGGACTTATTTTTTATTCAGCAACAAATAACTGTTAGAAAACTAATTTCTTCATTTTTACATTGTTTCTTGAATCCTCACATTTAAAAAAATTTTACAAACAGGATGTATAAGTTATAGTAATGTTTCTGATATATATATATATATATATATACATATATTAGAAATGTTCCACTAATAATTTTTTTGCATGCTCTGTTATGTATGTTAGTTTGCAATACCCAAAATAAAACTTTCATGTGCCCAAACATATTTTTCAAATGCATACTAATAAAAATATATGAATACACCTGCATATAATGACATTAACAACATATCTACATCAACAATTTTATTTTAATTACAAATAAATCAGAAGTATAAAGTATTACTAACAAAGTGTTAGGAATTATTATTTAAGTCCAAATAAATATTGAAGCAGTAAAGGCAAAAAAATATCTACTTTTAGACAATCTTACGCTTGCATTTACTTTCTCATTGCAATTTATTAAGCTATTAAATTAAGTTCTTATGCACAACAATCAGAATAAACTTTTTTCAATAAAAATAAGCTTGACTAAGAGAACAAAAAAGAATATGCGAAGCTTACTTCATAAATTCTTATTTTTTTAAGTAAACAAATCTTAAAAAATATTATCAATTTTCTCCCCCTTCTCCTTTGCCATATTTATCTGTCCCCTCTAGGTATTCTATAAATTATAGTCAAAATCTCAGGGACGTTTTAGGTGTTTACAGTATTCTTGATTAAATTTTACTTCCCGGCCAGACATGCCTGATTGGAATTTTTACATTACTACAACTATATATATGAATATAATTTTAAAAAGAGTTAAATAACAATTTAAACATTGATTAGATTTTTCTGAGTAGCATACTTGTTGCAATATGTTTCTATAGTCACAGTCTACTTTTAAAATAATTTAATCTCTAATAATAAAAGATTAAACAAACCATTTAATTAATATTCCATGGTTACAATATCTAAAGAATTAAAAAAAAAACTTCTTTTTATACCTAACTTCTGAAAGATTGCTCTAAGATAGTTCAATGGCTTGCCAAATGCTTTTTTCAAAAGCATGAAAATAAAGGTTAACTGGGTAGGCTTCATAGTGGTTAAAATTAAAATCAAGGAAAAATTCTACAAAAAAAATCAGATCGTTTTTTGTGCGATATGTACACACTATTTTTAAGATGTGGAAACTAAGGGTTAAAAAGAAATAGTGTAATCCACTACTTTGAAAAATTTGTTTTGTGTGGCATATTTTATACATGGGTTCAAAATCAATGTTTTCAAATAAATAAAATAAAAAAAAAAATAGAATCAAGTTGATCAAAAATGATTTTAAGAAACTAAAATTTTTTGAATGCATACATATGGTGAGAAATTTTTTAACCTGACTTCAGAAATAGCTTCCTCGACATAAAAATGAGATCAAGATAACTGATAATTATAGCCATTTTCATGCAATAATACTTCGAAACTAAATTGTATATAATCCAGAAACTTAAGAATAAATGTATACAGATGGTAAACCTTATAATCAGAAAAAAGAACATTAAAATGAAAAGGAAAAAAAACAAAGAGATTAAAAACCACTATTTATGACAAATGGATATTTAAAAGTACTTTCGATTTTGCAATAAAATAAAATGTACAAGAAAAGACAAACAAGGCATTTACTGCAATTTTCTAGTCAAAAATGTTAATGAGTTACATCATATCCAACCTATTTTTAAAAATTTAATTAAAAAAATAATTTTTATTTTCTTAATAAAGTGACTAAAAGACTGTAACTAAGTCTTCATATGAATATTTTGGGGATAGCCTCCAAATAAGGAAAAGCGTATGTTTGCATTTTTTAAAAAAATTATTAAGTTTTATCATGAATCATTAAATAAAACATGAAAAATATTCCAAAATGACTGAGTTTTGAAATTATACATTATAAAATAAGTAAATAACCCCTGAATAATAATCGATAAAAAGGTTTACTGGAGTAAAAAACTGTACGTAATAAAGATCGGGACGTTTACGATGATTAAAAACATGCCTTTAATGGTAAACTCCACATAATATAGAACTATCGTGACAACATAAAAAAGATAACATATATATAAATATGATGATAAATGACCACATGGCGATAAACAGTGTTTTTAAAGATGTGGTCCACCCTGCCAGGCCTTTGATCCATATAAAATAAGTAGCCATTCGTTAAAAACTGCCCTTTTATTTTTGCAGAAACAGGTTGTTTTTATGAAAAGTCCAAAGAAAAAAAACTTCTTCCTTCGCACCATATTAAACCTGATCTGTGTTGTCCACAATAGATTAAGCCCTTAAATTCTGTCGAAGATAAGCAATCTTTTTGTCCGGAAAAAAGCAGAATATATGTCTGGTTTTAAACATGTGCTTTCTTTCTTCTGAATGTCTTTGCCTCTTCATAGATGAAACAAAGACGAGTCAATTGATGGAAGGTTACAAAATTTAAAGACAGAGCTTATTAAAAAACTAAGCTTGAAGTTTATCAGTAAATAAAAATAAGAAAACATTTATAGTCAAGAAAAACATGTACCAGAAAATCAGGACTCATTAATCTAAACTATAATTTTTAGTTCCAATATACTCAATCTGTAAAATACCTTTGCGATTAAATATGGTTGCAATTTTAACAGTAAAAACATTATTTTTAGTTTTTAAAATACTATTCTATATATATTCAAAATTCTATAAATAGTTGCAATTTTAAAGATAAAAAAGATTATTTTCTGACATTACATACATTTGGTGTTATTCTCGTTTCTTTCTTTTTTTTTTTTTGTAAAAACAATATGAGACACTAACTATTTCATAAAAATATTTCGACACAAAAGCTCTACTTGGTTTCTATATATACCTGATATAAATATATCACTTTAAAATCTAAATAATACTTACTTTCAGTTGATTAACTAACACAATTGCCATTATTATTCCATAGATAGCAACAGCCTCACAGAAAATGATGCTAACAAGATTTTTGGTTCGTATACGAGGGGCTTTTACTCCACCACCAACAATACTCACACCAGTCGTGTAGATTCCCCTGAAAATATTTCAATCAATTGTTAACAAATGTGTGCTAAAATAGAATGCTAATTTTTAAGTTGTAGGTAGAAAATTATAGAGGTAGATGAAAAAAAAAATAAACTTTTAAATTCTGAATTTATGTAATAAAATGTGTGATTAACAATTTTTTATTCATATCTACGTGATAGTAATTCTAGTATGTTCTCGCCTATAGGTTAATAGTTAAAAAAAAAAGAAAAGAGGTTTACAATAGAAAAAAATATGACTTAGCAACATGTATATATCTTAAAATAAGTTTTAAGGTTTTTATTCAGTGGAACATTGATTATTCAAACTTTTTTTCATCTAACTACATCTGTTAACCAAAGCCAATACAGAATTTTTAGATTTTTTTAAAAATATGTTGCTGAAATACAGCTTTGTAAATATTTATCTTCATTTAAATTTATCTTATTAATTAATCTAAATCTATCTTCCTTTTTTCCTGACAAAATTATGCCAATACAATCATGCAATCAACAATTTTTGATAGGTAGTTATATACAGTATAGTATACAGTTGCCTGGTTTTAGATTTTTGATAAGCACCTTTGTTTTTAAGTAATATAAAAAAAAATTGAACATTGTCATAATTGGTTTTCATCAATTTAAACTTTAATAAAATTAGATTCTAAAAAATATAAAAGCTAAAAAACATGTAGTTTTAAATTACTTACTCAAAACCACAAATCCCACCATTTTATTGCTTTTAAGTTTTGAGAAAAAATTTATAAAAATTCAAAAAACTTTTAACAGTGGGTACTACAAAGTTTGTGGCTGAATAATAAAACTAGTTAAGATTAATAAAAATAATGACTCTTTTGAAATAAAGATACAAACAATGAGAATCAACAATATACAAATGAAATAACACATTTGATTCATGACATTGATTAGAGACAATGGATAAAACAAAAAGTTTTACTTTTCACCATTTAAATCCATGGAATAGGAGGATACTGCACAAGATGAAATAACTTCTCATCATAAATAAACAAGACAAGTTCGTCTATGCTTCACATTTATTACTATTTATCCCGATAAATAGAATACAAAAATAAAACTATTAAATTTAGAACAAAAATTGAAATGTTGAATATCTATTTTAACTTCTCATAATAGTCCAAAATTTGAAAACATGAAGAACAAACAATTAAATAAAAAAAAAACTGTTTTTTTATAACTACAAATTTAAGTGTTCCAATAGGTTTATTTAAAAATTTTTGAACTGAATTCAGGTAATTAGGTCAATAAAAAACTAAATACACTAAATGGTGTTTTATGGTAAATTTATGGTGTAAATACACAATAAAAACACTAAAATTTAATATATAAATAAAATTAGAGTTTGCTACAGTGAAAATAATAAAACGAAACATAAAAATCAAATAACTAAATAATTATAAACCCAGAAATTCAATGTTCTGCAACACCAACGAATGAATGTAATCAAAACTAATATTTCTCAAAGTACTAATAATTTATTGAATAAGTATATTGATTATCGTAGAATCATATCATTATCATACATATTAATCCCCTTTATTTATTCAAACAAATAATACTTTAATTACTTAAACAGTAACCCATACATTTACACACGGCCAATATTTCATCAGGCAAATATATAAAATTCACTAATTATAAGACATACATTGACTTACACACAATCGTTTATCAAGCAAAATGATACTTTAATAACGAAATTCAAGCCCAATAATTCCTTCAGGTAAAAAGTAACATTTCAAAATATAAATTATTTACAATCTAAGATCTGATTTCATTATCAAGAAAAATTTGCACAAAATCAGCAACTTATATTAATCATCTAGTTAATTTCAGGCATTCAAAAAACAATTTCAATATGAAATAATATTTCATAATATCCGGGAATATAATACCAAGTCAAAGAAAATTACACAAAATAAATGACAAAAATTAAACTTTGATTAGAAAAGTGAATATTATTTAAATTGCCAAAACAAATCATTCATTTGTACCTATGGAATTGAAAAATCAACTTTAATAACTTGTTAAATTAAAAAAAAAATTAAAAATAGGTGAAACAGCTCAAAGATCCCTCGAATTTTTTAATCCTTAAACGTATTTGCCCACGGATGAAAGTTACTGGCAAATTTGCACATGCCCATGTCTCTCACACGGGCATTCTTGTATCTTGCATTATTTCATTTCTAATGCCCATCTGCGAGCCATTCTAGTAGAAATAGAGAGGTTAGATTATAATTAAATTTATCTACCACAGATGACACCCACGCGGCACTTTTCTAGTGTAAACCACGTGGTGCATTTTGATGATTAGCTTTTTGATATATTGATTTTAATATTTTGATATTCAAAATAAACCTGCAATCAAGTTGTTTAAATCTCCCATAGCTGAAATTGCAAAAAATAGCTTACATTATACCTATATATTCATTTTCTGTAAAAAAAAAAAAAAAAAAAAAAAAAAANAAAAAAAAAAAAAAAAAAAAAAAAAAAAAAAAAAAAAAAAAAAAAAAAAACTCTTGCTTTAAGGGGTTAAAGGGATCCAATTACCTGAAATTAGGAAGGAAAGGATGGGAAAATAAACAATCGCTTGATCAAGCAGGGGGTGGCCTCGTAGGCAACCAATTATCACCTTAATTTTGATTTGGAAAGATAAAGGGTTAATTTTTGATAGGCTAAACATGCTGAAAATACTGTAACAAAATTCAACATGTGCATAAATAACTAAAATAAGAAAAGGAAGTGGAAATAAAAACAAATGAAAGAAAAATTTTTATATTCATTTTGAAAGCAAAATGTATAAATGTACATTTTATTAATTAACTAGATAAAAAAATACTAATTTTAATAATAATAATAATAAAAAAAAAAAATAAAAAAAAAAACTACCTCTATTAAAAAATTTAGTTACGTGAATTTTGAGACACCCTATTTATTTTTCATTAAAAGAGTTATTTTTATTGTTTTTCTAAAGGTTGCAAAAAAAAAAAAAAAAAAAAAAAAAAAAAAAAAAAAAAAAAAAAAAAAAAAAAAAAAANATAGCGATGGTCCCGATCGTTCCGGATAATCGGTTCCCTACTGTATCAATAACAAATTGAAGCTAATACTGTATGTTACATTTTTGGTTACTTTGCAATGACTTTCATCATATTTTATACTTCTTAGAATATTATGTTTCTCGTGCCTGAAAATTGCAATATCAGTAGGAAGCTATTATAGTAAAAAAGTACTCAATTATAAAAATAAAGACACATAGTCAAAAAATCGTTACTAGTATTAAAAAAACAGAATTCATTAAAATATGTGCACCCTAACACAGCAAATATAGTGCGATTTTGAAAAATAAATTATCAAGTACAGTCAATAAATTTATTTAAATATTTATGCAAAAACAATAGGATAAATAAAAAAGAATTGTAAATAACAGCTTCAATTAATACTCACAATGCAGCTCCAACTACAGACAAAGCAATGGCTAAACCTATACCTGTCGCTGCCCACATAAATGGGGAAAGCCCAGTTAATAACCTACAAAAATAATGAAAAAATAAATACATCAACAGATAATTAATCTTCATATCTAATTTTAAAAAAAGAAGAAAAATTATATGATGTAAATGAAACATATAAAATCAATTAAAACACTTTAGTAAAATTAGCTTCACATTTTTAATTAAAATAAGACTAATGAAAGAGAATAAACAAAATAATGAATGTTTTTTTTAAATTATTGATGATTTTTATTCGAAATTTTTTTCAATAAATGATTCAAATTGTAAGAAATTTTTGTTGTATGCAATTTATAATTCATTATCAAATTGGTATGAATTATATTTTTTTAAAAATTATATTTCTCAAAATTTAAAAAAAAAATGATAAGATGTTAAATGGATATTTTAAAATACAATTAACAAAAGGATCACTTTTTTAGAATACAGAAAATATGCACAAATAGAAAAGTAAGATACTATAAACAAATTTTACTGATGATCTTTAAATTGATCCTTTAACCATTGATTAAAACTGGTAAAGAGCTGGATAGAGTAATAAAAGTAAAAAAATGTTGTACCATCTTTGATAAAAGTTATTTTTAATATTAATAATAGAATTGACTTTATTTTTTCACTTTATGAAAATACCCGCAACATTAAAAAATTATAAATGTAATATTTTCTTCATTACTTCCTAAATAAACAGACTCAACCTTCAACTTCCTTTTGCATTTTTTAGATTTTTAAAAACAAAGCTTTAACAACAACAACAAAATATTTTGTGCAAAAATAATTACCATCCAAAGTCAAAACGTTCACCTTTACCAGATAAGCAATAATATAAAGCTGAAAAGAAAAAAAATACAATTTATTGCTTTAAATAATAATTAGTATATCATTTCATTATTATTTGTCATAAAAAGAGGATTTATATTATCATTATCGAGAATTAATATTTTCAGAATATCTTGATAGATGAATTAAATCTATGAAGGTAAACTTAAGCTGAAATTTTTATGTATTCTTCTTTAATGTAAGAATAAAATCTCTTTGCTCTGAAGATAATTGAGTTCTGTCCAGAAATAAGGTTGTAAATGATAATTAAATTGTTTTTTTTTTAAAAAAAAGAAGAAACAAAAATTAGATTTATTGAACAGGATTTTTTTTTCAGTCGAAGCAAATACAGTAAAACCTTCAGGAAAGACCGTTGCTATTTACGACCACTTTTGAGAGGCACGGAATTCGTATGCCATTTTTTATGATTTCATTGAAATTGAATTAAGTTTCACAATTTTTCTTTCTTAGTTGGTAAAATTAAGAGTAGTAATTGAGAGGTTCCCAATTGTTTTTATATTATAAAAAATTAAAATAAAGAAAGTTGGGATAAACGACATTGCAAAAATTATTAGAAAAACAAGTTTTATATTTTGCTGCTCGGGATGAGCCACATATTCGCTCGTGGGCCAATCTTGCCAAAAATTTTGTTTGATTAAAAGAATTTCGTTTTTTCTTCTTCCTATAAATAAAATGGTTCACTCAGATAGATAAAAAGAATTACAGCTAAAAAGTTGAATTAGAATGATGCATAAGATTCTCTAAAAGATTTCAGGTATCATGTGATCATGTCAGAATAAGACTATATCCCACATAAATAAAGGTCCTACTTAATATCTAGGCACCTTAAATCATTTCATTCTTTTTATTTTTCTCATAAGGCTTAATTTAATACTTTTTAAGTTTGTTGCAGTAAATATTTTTAGAAACCTTTTTTTATAGGATAAAAATGCAATTATGCTAGAGAAAATTTATTATTTTTGGGACACGATGTTTTATATGTTATTACGCAGCATAGCCATTTCTGGCTCTTGTGCCAATAAAATCCAAATAACTAACTAACTAACTAACATTATAGATGCAATGTATATCCAAACTGTTTTTTTTTTCCATGTAAGATATAAATCAAATGACCTAAAACAACCTTTCAATGTTGTCTGCACATTTCTACTGGCCATAAAAAATTAGAAAGGTTATTTAATCAACTACATAACCATTAAACTATTTTTTTCCCCATAAATTTTAAAGGTATTTATTTGTAATATTTCTTTATCATTCTTTTCTAATATTACTCTCAACTATTATGATTTATATTTTTATTCCAAATTAATGGCTTAAAACTAAAAGTGGCATTTTTTTAATATAAAGCAATCCCGTAATATCACCTTAATATGTAACATTTTATAAAAAAATATATGGAAAAATGTTATAAAAATATATTGAAGACAGTATGTAACTTTACTGCTCTAAAATTATTATTAAACAGCAAATGCGTTATATTTACTTTCATAAGGAGCTTTAGATAAAATTATTTCCAGTGGCAACTGTTATTAGAAATTAACTTTACGTAATATTAAACCATCAGACAAAAAAAGAAAAAACTTATTAATTCTTAAGTAACCAAAAGTTAAATAGAAATTTGAAATGCAAAATTGAATATTAAGTTGCATTGACAACTGAACAAAATGATTTAGTTTAAATTTTATTGCAAGTTAATCTGGAACTAAGACTTTGTTAATGCAATAAAAAACTTTGGGATGTTTTAATTGTGAACGAAAAATGGTTTGTAGTTCAGAAATAAAAATAATAAAGTAAGAATCCGAAACCTCCCAAAGAATGGTTACATTGCAACAAAACAAGTTATAATTACTATAATGTAACTTTCTAGTTAGAAGGAAATAATGCAATCTTAATAAGTGTTCAGGAATAGAAATTTTAAATATTTCTGGAAAAAAAAACCCGTGTTTACTATCAAAATAACAATAACACCAAAATTTTTATGAAAAACCCAGGTGGGTTGGGCTTTTAGAAAAAAAAAAACTGGGTTTTTTTTTCAAACCCTGATGATTACACATTTTTAACTACAATTTGATCGTGATTTATCCGACATACAAACACTAATTAATGACTAGTAACATTAAATAGAAACTTGTAACTCTTAAATTTAAGACAAAACGATATTTAAACTTTTAAATTTAACCTACATATTGGTAAATTGGTTACACCTTAATATGTTTATCTTTCTTACCAATTATAGTGATTATTCCTAGAAATGTTGTATATACAACATATTGAGTTTGTGCTAGAAGTCCCATTTTTAAAATACTATTAAGATTTTAAATATATAAATATAATTATTCGGGACTAATGTCAATAGAAGAGAAAATAAAACTACCAGACCATCGATCCCATGATATTCTGAGCAGTCACAGTTAAATTGTGATCAATGAAGAATAATCAAAAATTCTGTTCAATAATTCACTGTTTTTTTTTTTTTAAATTTCATAAGAATTATTCAATCAATCAATTCAAATTTTATTTCTTACAAGAAACATAGTTTAACAAAAATAAAGTTTTTTCATCAATTAAAAAAATATGGCAATAGTTGATCACTGTTTATATTTACATTTTGACAGACATACTTATGACTTCTTTAAATTCGCAATTTTTAAGTTTCTCATTTTTAAAAAAGAATAAAATATATTTTAGATATCTAAGCACTTGATTGCTTTTGATTATTTATTATACCTTTTCTTAGCACTTTTTAATTGTAAGTGCACTATTTTTAAATTTAAAATTACTTTTTAAAGACCTGTTATTAACAACTGGTGGACAAAAGAGAATATGCTATAATGTGTATTTATAGAAAACTACTTATCATTAATAATAACTTTATCCTATTATAAATATGTTAAGATCTATTAAATATGTTAAGATCAACACAAGTCTATGAAAAATATTTTTTTAAATAAAAGTGTTTTAATCTTTTGTTAAAAATTGAAAATGTACCTATTTATTTCGTTTTGCTTCAAGTAAGTCTTTAAAAAATACTTATCTCGTAAGGTCATAAAGAAAGGTAAAGATAGAAATTATTCAAAAAGTGCATAAATTTAGCTATTGTGAAGCTTTAAACAAAATAGTTGAAATAAACAAAATGATTTCTGTATCATGATCTGTCGCACCTACTACTATCGCAAAAGTACCAAATAGATTTTAAACTTGCAATTTTTTAAAAAAAAACATGTAGATGTTTGCCCGCGGATGGTTACAAGTTATACCTTTCTAGTTGGTCCCTTTCTGTTTTTTTTTTTTGTTTAGTTTCTCGCGGGCTGCTGCCCAAAAGTTGCCAAGACTTGGCGATTATTCTGCCACAGATCACGATACAGAAATCTCCCCCTAACTTTCGATTCTCCATCAAATATCAAATTGTATACAGAATACAATACTTTTAAGGTGAAGACGCTTAATGTGAAACATCTTTTAAGGTGAACTCAAATTTCATTACCCTTGGAAAAAATTTTACTTTTCATGTGAACAGAAATTTTCTTTCCCTTCTAACAGATAATAGAAAACTGATCATTCACAATTCTCTATCTTGAATAGTAAGTTTTTTTGAATGCTTTGCTAAAGTGTTGATAATTGCTAGATTATAGCAGTCTAATGAAAGAATTGTATGAACTGAATCAGTTGAGTGGGAGGGGTATTACAGGAAACAACATGAGTCCTTTTCTCTCTTTCGTGTGCTTGTTAAGGCAGAGAAGTGCGATCTATGGCCAAGAATTCGACTTCTGCCATATTATATGTTACACCCGTTTATAGGGTGGACCCATTCATACATCCATTCTTTCATCTACAGATCGTAATTTTGACCTGAATCAGAGAACGATCAATCTCCAATTCGGTACCTCTAGAGGTATTGATTTGTTATGGGAACATAGAGGACTTTGCAACTTGACAGATTTTATGTGTATCAGTCATCATTTACTACACGGGGAGTCTTTGGCCGGTGGGGTTCGAACTTTCGAACATGGGCCCAGCGTCCTACGACCAGGCTCTCCCGGCCCATGAGTCCTTTTGTACTCTTAATATGAATAGAATTTTCTTTCACTTCATGGGTGGAAATATAAAGAAACATGCTTTCCTGAGAAATGACCATCCATATTAATCCTTTATTCAACATAGGTAGTCATTTCTCCTACACTCTCATAGGTTGTTCTAAGAAATTGATATTATTGGATTGCATTTCTGAAGATTTCTATAGCAGATGAAGACATGTGAAGCTAAAATTTTTCATCAATTTTACTAGTGAATACATAGTTTAACTTTCCTCTGATGGATGCTTATTACTGTTCATTCTTATGTAATGCAAAATGAAATTACCGATCTTTTTTTTTTTTTTTGGATTCAGTTGACAAGATATTTGGAGATAACATGACTACTTTTAACATGAACAAATTTTAAGGAACGTGAATTTTAATGTAGCTTGAACAAGGTTCCCTTTGAGTTAATGCTAATAAGGTTTAACTGTGTTTTTTTTTTTTTCAGATTTAATTTTTGAAGTAAGAGTTCTTAGTAAAACAATGTTAATATTTTTCTTTTTTAACAGCAAAAGAATTTAATGATGTTGAGACATCTTGTTAGAAATACTGTAAGATGTAGGTTCTTATCGTGTTCTTCTATGAGGTAAATATATCTTAATTTTATTGATAAAAATATCCTTCATTGTAAAAAAAAAATTTTTTTTTTACATTGTTGCATAAAAATTACAGATTTTATCAATGATAAAATCTGTCATAAAATGATATTAATAAATGATTTTTTATTAAAATACTTTTTTTAAATCAATAATTAAGTAATAGATTTAAAAAAATATTTAATTGAGTAAAAAATACAGTTAGATTTTTTTAATTTCTATCTTTCCATACAAAAAAAAAGGTTCACAGGTTATCGGATAACTATACCATATTTCTCTTACATTAGTAAATAATGAAAACCTCAAAGTAATTATAAAGACAAAAGAATATAGAAGGTACAGATTCTATATTAAAAAAATGGAAAGATTGTTAATATACTAATTAAAAAGAAATTTATGAAATAAATAATATAAATTATAAATATTAACTGTCTGATTTAAGGAATTCAATTAAATGTTTTAACTTGGGGAAATTAAAACTTTGAATATTTGCTTTTATTTAAATTTTATTTTATTTATTTATTTTTTTTAATTTATAGAGTTTTACATTTTGATAATCTGATGTTTTAGTGTATAGGAACTGAATGTTTAAAATATTTTTCCAGATCTAGTGTTTCTAGATATTTTCCATGTTTATTTTATTTTATTTATGGTGTAAATTACACTGAAAAGAAGTGAAAATTTTCTTTTATGTGAGAGTGCCTGTTTTTTTTTAAAATCAAATTATCACTTTTAAAAAAAAAATTAATTTTGCCAAAAATTTAATATAATGATGTTAATATATTTAATGTCTCAAGATATGAATTTAAGATAAAAAGTATTCAAAATAATTTATTTTGATACATCCTACATTAATTTAATATCTCTTCACTGAGCAATAAGAGCTGAATAAGCACAATCTGCAATGAAATAAATCTAAACTATAATTTTCAATTTCATGCATGTGCTGCTACCAGGGCTGTGGGGACTTTAGTCAAAAAATTTACTTGACTCCAAATTTGGTTTGTTTAGAGTCTGATCCTATACATTAATTAATGTTCATCTTGTGAAAATTGTTGAGACAAATATCCATAATTTCATGAAGCAAAAAATTGACCAAATGAATCTTATTATGACTATTATTTAAATTACAAATTATCACAAATTATATTAGTGTAATTTTCAATGATAATGTTTTACACTAATCATGCATAATATATATCTATACAAAATATATATACTGTGACAAAAAGTTCTCATACAACTTCTGAAGTGAGTTAAAAAATTATATAATTGTTACAATAGTCCCAATTCCTTTCAGACAATTTAGTGTGAGGTATATATAAGGTATTGCAAGCATATATGTTGTACTACTTATAATTTTTCTTTACTTTGTTAAAATGAAGGAATGTAAAGAAACAATGATAGGTAAATTCGTCAAAGGAGAGCGACCGGACAAATTTTTAGAGAATTGAAAGTCCTTAGGGTGAGGAGGGATTTCATTTCCAGAACTATTAACCCTCCGCGTACTGCTCAGTTTTTATACTTTCCGGTCCTGAAATACGGGACGATATTTAAGTTACTTATAGTTTAGTATTTTTCATTTTAAGTTATTTTTTCACCACTAAATATCAAAAATTATAAGTATGATATGAAATGCAACGTTAAAGCATCAATCTGCTGGTTACTATATTAAAAAGTAGGCTTTACTATCCTCCTTCCTTGACACTCGGCAAATCCATATCTTTCATAAATGTTTATCGCTCACGGGGAAATGGCAGGGAACACGGGGCGGTGGATACGCTTAAACAGGGAAATGGCGGGATCCGTATTGAAATCAGGGGGAAAATTTCTTCGACCGCGATTTTCACATGACCCGTAGTGGGGGACAAAACAGATACCCCACTCAAATTGCGGAGGGTTAAAAGTTATAATGAAATGTCTTCAGTTGATAACAGAACAAGATCTGGCAGAACGTGGTCTGTTCGGACAAAAGAAGCTGGGAAAAGAAATGGAAAAAGATCTGCTAGAAAGCTAGACCAAGAGTTCAAAATAATGAGGGGATCATTGTAAAACATTTTGAGAGTTTTTGCATAGCTTATAGGAAAAAGTAAAATTTATGGACTTTTATACTCTGCTAAGATAAAAAGGAGGCAGAGGGTGTAATAAATTATTGCATGGCAGGTTGAGGATGAGTTTGCCTTTTCAAACGATAAACTATTTGTTTTACAGCAAAGTCTGAACCCTTAAAGTCATAGAATATGGTTAGGTAATTTCTATTAATAACATCCCTGAGAGGCAAAATTATGTTCCTCCTTATCAAAATGCTTTGCCTGTGATAATTTCAGGGGCTATTTTTTTTTTTAAAAAAAAAGGAGACTGCCGTTAGTTTTCATTGAGAAGAGTGCAAAAATCAATGCCCAATATTATAAAACTAAGGTTTTGCAAAAAGTTTGGCGTTCTGGTGTCCAGAGTATGTATAAGTGAAATATTTCTGTTTCCAAAAAGAGGGTTTTTCTTCTAATATCGCACGTGTGGTTCCACAAACATTTAGCTGACTTTTTGTTGAAGAATGAATGGCCTCTCAACTCAACTTGCTTGAATACTTTGTTTGGTCATAAATGCTTTCTCAACTTTATAATTATAAAATCACTAATCTGCGCAAATTCGAAAATGTAATTCAAAAGATATGGCAGGAGCGAGGCTTAAGCTCATTAAACGAGTAGAAGGCGGTATTATTTCAAAACGTCAACAACGTTTATTGTAAAGATATTTAAAAGATACCTATAGAAAAGGTTTATTGTAAAGATACTTAATAATTGCTACTTTAATGTAATGCCGAAAGTTTCTTTATGATTTATTTCTTAATACAGTAATGAAAATTTGAAAGTGTATGAGAACTTATTTGGCATTTTTCAAAAACGATTTTTTGTTTTGTTTTATAGTTGCAGTAAAAGTGTAGGAGGTGAGCTAACAGAACAAGTGGAAGACTCCAATGATAGTCATCCCCAGGAAAAAATTAAAATTTCTTCACCTCAAACTACTCCAAATATACTAGTTACAAAAATGCCATTTGCTGAACTGCCATCTGATGATGCGGATATAAAGATACCTACAGAATTTGCTGAGTACATTGATTCACTTGGACCACCTTTACCTGTTGCATTCAATTTAGCAGCTTATGTGAACCAATCAGAGACCTTGCAAAAACTAATTCAACTAGGTGTGGATCTTTCAAAATTGGAAGAGCAGCCGGAGAAAGCTAAATACATTTTACAACTTGACTTTGAAAAAGATATTAAATCTCATATTAAGTTTTTGCATGATCTTGGCATAGAGGCTGAACTATTAGGAAGATTTATTACTAAGAATCCTTTTATATTTAAAGAGAACATTCAAGATATGGAAGTAAGAATTAATTACTTGAAAAGTAAGAGATTCTTGGATTCTGCCATTTCACGTATCATAGGTGACAATCCATATATTTTAAGTTGGGATACTAAAAAAGTTGATTCTCGATTAGGCTTCTTTCAAAAACAGTTTTCTTTGTCTGGAGATGAAGTTAGATATCTCATAACTAGATCTCCAAAACTTGTGACTTACAATTTTGAAAAATTTACAGTAAGTATTTTAATTTTTATGTTAAGAATATTTGCTTTTAAAGGTTTCAGCTATGATTTCATAATTGTTTGTCTTCATTTCAATAAAATTTATTGATTAAGGATAGGATTGTGTGAATTTATTTTAGGGTTCCAAAATTTTTTCATTTTGTGCATTTTTGTAGCGACACAAAATTTTTTATTCCAGTTACAAATATTTGTTGTGTTTTGTTGTTGTGTATCTGAATACTGAAATTTAGAAATGTGGGAAAGATAGACTTTAGAGGTTAAGAATTGCCTAAGAAAAATTTGAATTGTTTCAACATGGAATTCAGTGTAATTTTTTATGTCAACTGCCAAGTAATACTTTAATTTTAATCTTTATCATTAATAGACTCTTACTCTTTTCTTTGATTTACAACTTGACAATATTTTTCAACTTTATGATGTAGTAAGAGGCTTATAACTGCTGTTCTTCTGATCCCTGAAATTTAGAAATGTTATTCACTGATTACTCTGTAAACTGTTAGCACTCAAATTAATATGAAAATCTTTATGTTTCGAATTTTGTACAGAGAAACCAAATATGAATAGTCAGACAGGGTTGATTGGTTTAAACCACAATTGAAAGCAAATATATATATATATNTATTTTTTTAAAATCTTTTTACTAAATACATTTTCTTATATTTATATAAATTTTTTCAGTTTTAATTTTGAAAGAAGAAAGATGGTTTTCTCATATTTTTTTTACAATTTTGAGTTTAATTGCTAATGGGAATTCATTTATTTTAAATAAACATTAATCTGAAATTTGTAAAAGTTTACGTATAATTTGAGTTTCTTCAAAAATACCTATGTAAAATAAATTAATTTTAGCAAATTTAAGATAAATTCTCTTTGAAATGCTTGGAATGAAGCTAATTCTATATTCTGTTCTATATTCTTGGATCATAACTAATTCTATATTCTGTTAGTTTTTTCACTTAGCTAAATCATGTAATCTCAAACTTTATTTTTGCTAAAGATACATAATGCTTATTTCAGTCAAAAGTATAAATGGGAATATGTTGCTTTTTCGAATTTTATTTACAGTTATTTTAGATTTATTTTCTGTTACTTGGGTAAGCAAATTTGTTTTAAATATGTATACAGTATATTTACATTCATTATTGTAATATTTTTAAATTAATTAAAATTTTTTACTATGTTTATTTAAAAATGGTTTAAACAAATATTAAAAATCCATTTTAAATATTTTTAACATATTTTTTTCCTAATGCTACAACACGTCAATGAATGCATTGTTATATTTAACCCTGCATCATATTGAAATAAATTTTTAAAAAGATAATTTATTCTTTTTCTAACCGTTTGAACTAAAACATACTTTAACTACTATGTGTTTAAAATTATGTAGGCCATTTATACATTTTATTCTTTTTCATCATTCTATTAATTTTAAATATTTTTTAATTGAAAAAATACATTGTCTTGAATATCTTATACTCTTTTATATTAAAATTTGTAATATTAAATAAATAAAACTAGAAATTTTCCTCTTATCAATTAATATTAATGTTACATGTTCTGCTGCTAAACACAGGGCTGCCAACATTCTATGCTTTTTGTAAAAATTTATTCTAGTGGTAGCTAAGTTTATGTTTTAATGTATTATTTTTTATTCACTTAAACTTATTTTCCATACCACTATACATAAATTATTTAAGAGTTCATATGCGACACCACTTTGTTCTAGATCTTTTGTGGTGAGGCTTTTAAAATGTTGACAAAATTTCCAAAAACTTTGAGAATTTTGATTTTGAAAGGTTTACCACTCTATAAAATATTTTGCAAAAAACATAGTAGTTGGCAGGCCTATAAAAAAATGACATCAGAGTAATTAACGCTAAAGTATGAAATTTTTATGCACACTGACTATCAAGAGGGAATTTTTTTTTTACATGTACTGATTTAAACCAAAAACACTTAGTTTTTAAAAAAAAGTTTTTTTTCTAACTTCGTATTTAGAATTTTGTACAGAGAAAATCTTCATGTACAATTAATTCTTAACTTTTGTCTTAAAAAAATATACAAAACTAGATGTAAGTAACGTATCTAATGAGCAAGCAAAGTGATCCGAAAAGAGGCTAGCAAGCACGTGTCAGAACCTCTAAATTCCTTGTTTAAAAAGTCTATGTTGCGTACTCAATTGTTGGCAAGGGATGTTTCAAATCCTTTAAAAATATATTTAAGTAATAAAAACTATTGTAATGCATGGCAGTGATTAAACCTGGCATTTTGAAGGGCTTTATCCTCACAGACAGCTTGAAATCTACTTATAGTTTGTCTAAATTACGAACTCCTCCAGACATTCGTCCGGACCTGTGGCGGTGACTATGGTAACGAGGTATGACTATTTCAAGTAGGGGTGCAGGGTCGCTGTTTTGGAGTGATTTCGGCGAGAGAAAGGGAATCTCTTCAGCCTATTCTGTTAGTCCTAGAGGGAAGTTACCCTCCCTAAAATGAGCCATTCTTTTTTCCATAGCACCAGATAACCTCAGACTTTATGACAGGAGGAGTTCTTAGCTTAGACAAACTATAGCTTCATTGGGGTGAGTACCAGCTTGCTGAGAAGTAAAGGCGGCCGATGCACAATGCTGACCATATTGCCACTATTGTTCTGTTAGTTTTGAAATTGGGGATTCTTAAACTCCCCATTCACCAACAAACTAGCTATTAGATAGGCCTTTGATTAAGAGTGTTTTTATATATTATACCTGTCAAAAAAATGTTAAAAGACTTATTTTTGTTTCCTTTTTTAAAAATATATTGTAAAATTTCCAAGCAAGTGAGCACCTGGACTTTGTTTTTAAGATGCAGTGAAATAGGAGACCTTTATCCTTTTATGAGTGTAATAAAAGATTAGGTTATTGATGATATGATAAAAATTTGAGATGCGGTATCAGTTCCTTTTCTATTCTCTCTCTTCCTTAATATGCTTTTAGCTCTCTTATTGATGATATAATTTTTATTTTTATTTTTAATTTATAGGAAAAATTATTTTCAATGAAAGAAGAATTCGGATTTAGTAGTTCAGAAATGAAGTTTATTTTACTGAAGAAGCCTAAACTATGGATGTTGAGTAAGTATGAAGTTTTCTCAAAATCTTATGTGCCTTCAAAAAAATGTTATTTTTTTCTCTAACTTTGTATAAAATTTCATTTAAACAATATTCAATTATTTTCATATAGTTTTAAATTATTCCACAGAAAATAAAATGATGAAATGAAAAGGTAATATAAAAATGAATATTGCTTGCTGGTAAAATAAATTTTTGTTAAAATGATATATGTTAAGGCTTTTGAGTTAGAAAACTGAATTTATTATTTTTATTCCATGTGAAGTGTATTAAAATCAATGCATTGAAAACCTTAACCTTTATTAAGTACTCTAGCGAATTAAAACCTTATTTTAAACCCTCTTAAATTAGTATAAAATTGAAATTTTATTCTTAGTTTCATAAGTTCTACCAAAAATAAAAATGTTTAGCTAGCGAAAAAGTTGCTCCTTAAAAGGGCAGTTCCATTTAGGCAAATTCACTGTTACAAATATGACGTGTGTAAACTTTAAATGCTTATAACTTAGTTAAAAATTATCGAGAGTTTTTAATATTTATAGTAAAAATAACTGATCGTTTTTCCTGCAATTCTTATTGATTTTCCTGAATTTAAAAAAGTTAAAAACTAACTGCCATGAACCTAACAAGTATCAAAATTAATTACTTAAATATCTACTAATTTACGCATTGCTATATTATACCAGTTTTCAAAGAAAGGTATTTAATGAATATTAAGAAGATTATGAGGTTATCAACAGTATTCAGCTTTTAAGATTATAATCTTTTTAAGATTTTAATTATCATGATAAAAGAAATTAATTTGTTGTGTAAGTAACATTTAGTGTTATGGGTGTAAGCCTCTTCAATTTTAACCCTAATCTTTTATAAGAAATTATTTTTCAGGGAAAACATCCTTGGTGGTATTGAACTTAATACTAACAAGGATAAGAGGACTTAAATTAAGATATAGCTTAATTCTGACAAAATATAAGTTTTACTTAAACTTTTCTTCTTAATTTTCATGTAAGTGAAAAAATTTAAAAAAAATTTTCCCCTTTACGTAATTCTAATATAATGTTACATAAAAAATTAAACTAGGTTAAATACCAAAAATATTTTATTACTTATTTGCACAGAGTATTTAATTAAGACCTTAATTTCATAAGATTTTTTAAAAAATTAATGCCTGAATTTTTTTGACAGAAAATTCATATTTCCATTAAATTCTGTTTAATAATATAAAATACAGATTTCAAGCTTACAAAAAATTGTATTATATATCAATATACTCGTAATTAAGAGTTAAAAATTTTGACATTTTGTTTTATTTTTGTGAAACCATATCTTATGGATTGCTCAAAATACAGAGGAATTAGCTTGCTCTGTACAAGTTATAAAGTATTTTCTAACATCCTTTTCAAAAGACTCTCCCCACTTGTCGAGAATATAGAGATTATCAGTCCGGATTCAGGAAGGGGCGATCCACCTCAGAGCAAATTTTCAACATCCAGCAAATTTTGGAGAAGACAATAGAATTTGGTATTGACACGCACCATCTATTTATTGATTTTAAAACAGCCTATGATAGTGTTAGCCGAAAAACTCGAATATCAGCCCTAAGAGAATTTAATATACCGGAGAAACTAGTGAAGTTGATTAGCTTGACACTAAGTGAAACCAAAATCATGGTCAAGATACAGAATAGTCTTTCCCATCCAATAGAAATTAGAAATGGTGTACGACAGGGAGATGCCTTGGCATGTCTTCTCTTTAATCTAGCATTAGAAAAAATAGTAAGGGACTCAAACATCAACACCCGAGGAAATATCTTCAACAAATCAGTTCAAATATTGGCTTTTGCTGATGATTTAGATATTATCGCTAGAACGCAGACAGCACTAACACAATCCTTTTTATGTCTGGAGAAGGAAGCCATTAAGATGGGATTAAGAATCAATGAAAATAAAACTAAATATATGCCCTGCACAAAAGCTGGCTATAAAGAAACACAGTTTGAAATTGGAGCATACAAATTCGAAGCCGTTGATAGCTTCACCTATTTGGGGTCTAAGATTAACAACAAAAATGACACTACACAAGAAATACACACGAGAATCACGATGGCCAATAAGTATTTTTATGGCCTAAGAAAATATCTTAAGTCAAGCCTAATAAAAAGAAAAACAAAAGTGTTACTCTATAAATGTCTTATACGATCAGTGCTTACATACGCATGTGAGACCTGGACAATGACCCGTGGAGATGAAAATATGATAGCTAGTTTTGAGAGAAAAATACTGCGAAGCATTTTTGGTGGAATAAGTAAAAACGGTACCTGGTTTAGAAGATCAAACACGGAACTTTACAAAGCATATAAAGAACCTGATGTCATTAAATTTATCAAAATTCAAAGGATTAAATGGGCAGGCCACATTATAAGAATGGAGGATAGCAGGACAACCAAAAAATTTTTCTGTGCCAGGCCAACAGGTACAAGAAAAAGAGGATGACCAAACCTAAGATTTTTAGACTGCCTTGAAAAGGACCTACAAATTTTAAAGATAATTAACTGGAGAACCTTGGATAAGGGAAGAATGTCTTGGCATAGGCTTGTTGAGAAGGCCAAAGCCCATCCTGGGCTGTCGTGCCAATGAGAAGAAGAAGAACCATATCTTATCATGACAGTTTTTACTAATTATTTAAGTCGTTTTTTTTAAAGCTCTATCAGGGAATCAATATTATTTGATATTATTTGATTTTGTCTTGACACATTGGATTATTACTAGCTTTGTCATTTGAAAAATTATGAAAAATTTTAAGTACGATTTCCTTGTTAGATTCTAAATTTTATCCCATAAAAAATGTAAAAGGTTTAAATTTGAATAAGGCAATAAAATAACTACTAATGTTTATACTAATATTTAAACAGTGTATTTCAAATTCCCTGAATAAATTTTATGCAGGAAACTTTATTATTCTAGAAAAATCAGGGAAATTATGAATTATATATTACTTGAAATTTATTGAAATGCGCAAAAATTGGTGAAGAGTGCCTAAGTTGGAATTAAGGTACTTAAAAAAGGACATTATTTTCTGTCTAAACAAGTTAGCGCTTATTTTTCTGAAAGAAGTTTTCTAATGCTCGTATTTTTGTCAAAAGCAATAAAAAGATATCTATTAAAATATTTTTTTACTGTCTCAATAATACATTTATATTTATGAATTACTATGAAATCTTTCAAATTTTTCTAAAATATTTTTAAACAAAAATGCAGTAGAAAATTTTGTACTGTCAGAAATATTTATCTTCATTTATGTTAACTCATAACAAATGTCTTTTTTAGTGAGTTGCTCTTACCGTCAACTTTGTATTTTATAATAACAAGAAACAAATGTGTCGATCTACTTGAATTCCCCCCCCCTAATATATTTGGTTTATTTTTGTAATACGAAAAAATTATTTTAAGAAAAAATTATTTTCAATTACAGGAACAAGTGTTTTGCAATTTCATTTCATTTCATGAAGCATAACTATAAAATGTTTGTGTTGTGTTGCCAGTTACGAAAATCAGGAAAATTTTATAAAATCAGTCGAAAAATTTTTTTCTGATTGTTTGTGTCTTTCTTTCGTCTTATTGTTATTGGTTTTTGTATATTTGTAAATACATACTTTTCTGTTTGATTTTTTTTAAAGGTCGAAATTCTCTGAAAGAAAGATTTAACATTCTCCACAATATCATGGGCCTTTCGCATGACCGTATTCTTGAATTTCCTGATGCTTTGCTGACTCGAGGTTTTATATTGAAGCAGAGACATCAGTATCTAGTCCATCTGAAACGAGCTCAATATAATCCAGAGGAACCACTCTATGTGTCTTTGAAAGACTTATGTACAACCTCTGATAGTGTTTTCTGTGAAAAATGTGCTAAGACCTCTGTAAGTGATTTTAATGAATTCTTGAAAACGTTATGAAATTATGATTGTTATCTTTAAAAATAAATTTTAGTTTATCAAATCTTCTCTATCTTTTGTTCTTTCATGTAATATAATACCAGACGATACTTTATAAGGGGTGCAAGACTATCGGTTACCAATGAATGCAAAGATGTTGCAGTGATTTTTGGAAGTATTATTTAAGTTTCTTAGAGGTATATTCAATTAAGGGGAAAAAATACAAAGGATGCTTGACTTTCGTGGGCCATAGATACATGACGAAATCCAAAATTTTAACGAAATGGGTCGAATAGTTTCTGAGAAATTGAATTTAAAAAAAATCGTGTTTTTAAAATTCGATTTCTAAGGCTCTAGTCTATCTGAAACAAGCCCAATATAATCCAGAGAAACCACTGGACGACCGACTTCGATCAAATTTTGTATTTTGACATATTTTGAATCATTTTTTAAACTGATGTCAAAAATCCCATTTGACACTGATTTATCAACAGGATTTTCGGATTCAGCCTTGATAGAATTTTAGCGAGGCTGAGCTTGGTTGTAACTGTTGTATGCAAGCTTGCTCACTACCGAAACTTAAATTTGCTCTTGAACTTGACCCGCGAAGCGGGTTTGCGACTTTTTATGACCCCCACTTTAGTCACTTCACCCTCGCACCCCGGAGGTCTCAGGACCCAGCCTGTCGCCACCCAGAAGCCGTGCGTGTGGTCCCGAACACTTAATGCCCAATCCTACAACTCTACGGACCCACTAAGCCCGTCTGTCTAGGCTTGCTAAAAGGAAAGCAACAATTAGTCCCGCCAGTTAGTGAAATAAGAAAAAAGTTAGGCTGGAATAGCCTGGTCGGTAGGGAGCCGGGCCCATGTCCGAGAGTTCGTGGGTTCGCACCCAGCCGGCCGAAGACTCCCCGTGTAGTGAAGTGACTGATGCACGTTAAATCTGTCGAGTCGCGAAAGTCCTCCATGTTCCCATAACAAATCAATACCTCTGGGGGTACTGGATTGGAGATCGATAGTTCTCTGATTCAGGTCAAAATTACGATTTGTGGATGTATGAATGGGTCCGCCTTATAAACAGGTGTGGCGAAGTCGAATTCTTGGCCATAGATGGCGCCACTGAAAAACAAGAATCGCGCACTCTTTAAATTTGCTTGGTTTCATCAAGCAGGCTTGTCCGTGTGGCAAGTGGCATTAGAACCAACCACCAACCAGAAAAAAGTTAGCACGTGCAGACACTGTATCAGAGATGCCAACTTGTTCCGGACAGCAAATAAATATTTTAGAGTGGTAGTTTATCAATGATTCTTGGTTTAATAAATTAAATTTAGTAGATTTTTATTCACCACTATTTCAAAATAATTTGTAGGTTTATATAATTCACCACTTTATAGTAGTTATGTCATGCTAAACCTTTAAAAAAGCAAGCAAAAATAGTCAAATATTTGCATAATTTAGTTTGTAGTTATTTACCGTTTTTTTAAAAATTGTTTTGGCGTGTCCGGGGCAGTTGGCATCTCTGCTGTATGCTGAACCTGATGTGACATGGCACAAGAATTGCAGGTTTTGGGAAACGAAGTTGGCTAAGTGAAAGTACCATTACAGAGTTAAAGTCGCGCTTGTAGCATAAAGATAAGGTAAATAATATAAACTACAGTATTTGCTTTAACAAGAGGGTAAGGCTGTTTCAATTGACTAGAGTAAAAAGAAAAAATATTATTTTGCCTTTAAGAAACGTGAAGACCAGTAAGCGGACAAGTCTCGCTTCGGTTTTCCCGCAATAGACTGGCTTCATGGAAAACTAGTCGTGTCGTATTCAGAGTGGCCTTACACTGTTTCATCCATTGAACTCTAGTTTAAGATTTCCGTCGATCTTTCAACAAGTAGCGAACCTTATGGTTAAACATTTGATCCTTACCGTGAAAAAATATCTTTTTAGTCTCACTTGTTCTCTGTTTACTTGCTGTTGCTGTAGTATTTTCCGAATCGGTATTGTATAATTCTTATGATATCGTTAGGAAGTTTTCACAATTTACGAAAAAACAACGGAAGAATTCTACCTTCTTTCAATATTTTTTTACTAGTCACAGTTCTGCATTAAAAAAAAAAATCTCTTATTTAAAAACTGAAATTTTAAAAATAAATTTTGTATCTTAAATGAGGAAACGGAAATTTCTTACTTAACCCCTCTAGAACCGGCGATAGCGCTTCCCCAGGCACGTACGCTCCGAAAGTATGCGTGCTAAAGAGTCAAAATTATTAGACAAGTAAGGTTAATTATTAACGAGCAAGTTTCAACGCGTTTTATGACGTCACATACTTAATAGATCCTTCATCGCAGTATTTTCGATTCGTTGTAACTCCTTGAATGCTATCATAAATTATTTAAATACAATTTCCAAATTATGGTTTTTAATAGCGTTACTCTATTATGATAAATATAGTATCTGATTAGAATATTTAATTAAAAAGCCATCAATGAAATATAAATATCATTAAAAATAAGTTTTATCTTCTTTAAATTCTCATAAATAGAAATGTGGTACATTCAAAAAAATTTTGAAGCAAAATCATGTAACAAACATTAATTTACTCTGCTTCACCTTTCACATCATATACATTATAGCATACGATGAATGATAAGAAAATATAATAGCATTTTTTAAATAAAATTTCACACTTTGAATCGAACTAAGGCTATTCCCCGATAAACTGAGAAAATGTAGAAATAGATTGTTCATTTATAATTCTAAAACACGTATCTGCAAAACAAAGTTTCTGTTCATCACTCAAAATTAAGCAGCTATAAATAGAAATTTGTATCTTTAAAATAGTACTAGTGGGCTGCACCCCCTGCTGGCTAACGCTCGCCAACCCCCGAAAATTGCTACGCAATCTTATATGGTTTGCTTCGCAAACCAAGCTCGATTCGCTCGCTACTAACTTAGGTACATTGCAAATACACAAAATTCTAAGAATTCAAAACAATCATTCAAATCCATATAACAACTTTCTTTTTTAAAAAAAATTACATCTTTTTAGTAAATACTAAGTCATTGTAATAAATTTGAATTCAAATAAATGACATGCAATTCGTTAAACCTATTGGAAATGTGCTATAGTATAATTCGTGATATAAATCAAAAATCGTCAAATAAATTCGTAATATATAAATACGTGAAAAAAAGCGCTTTCAACAAAATACTAAAATAAAGATTTATCGACAAGACTACTCACTTCTGCCTAGCTTAATAGTATGAGATTGCCGCAGCTGATGCNGTGGGCCATAGATACATGACAAAATGCAAAATTTTAACGAAATGGGTCGAATAGTTTCTGAGAAATTGAATTTTAAAAAAATCGTGTTTTTAAAATTTGATTTCTAAGGTTCTAGTCTATCTGAAACAAGCCCAATATAATCCACAAAACGACCAACTTCGCTCAAATTTTGTATTTTGACATGTAACGTATTTTGACGCATTGTTTAAACTTATGTCAAAAATCCCATTTGACAGCGATTTATCAACAGGATTTTCGGATTCAGCCTTGATAGAATTTTATCGAGGCTGAACTTGGTTGTAACTGTTGTATACAAGCTTGATCACTACCGAAATTTAAATTTGCTCTTGAACTCTAGTTTTATAATTTTGTAACCGTCTTTGAACAGCTGACCCAATTTCTGGGTTTACGACTACTAATGTTCAACTCCGTAAGCTTGTAGTTTTGAAACCAATCCAGAAGACAAGGGAATTCCTGGATCAAGTATTGGGAGAAGTTTGCCATCGTGGAGGACTTCTTCATGAAACAAACCCGCATTTGCATTACATGGAGAGGAAGACCACGAGAACCTCCCACGGTTAGCCTGACGGCAAAGGGACTCTAACCCATGATCCGTCTACCATTGAGGATATTTCACATAAGCACTGTGGTCGGTGCTAGCCGGATGCGGATTCGTATTGACCAGCCATCGGTGGGATTCGAATCCAGTTGGTATTGTATAATTCTTATGATATGTTTGGAAGTTTTCACAATGTACGAAAAAACAACGGAAGAATTCTACCTTCTTTCAATATTTTTTTACTAGTCGCAGGTCTGCATTAAAAAAAAAAATCTCTTATTTAAAAGCTAAAATTTTAAAAATAAATTATGTATCTTAAATGAGGAAACGGAAATTTCTTACTTAACCCCTCTAGGACCGGCGAAAAGTGTAAGTAGCGCTTCCCCCAGGCACGCACGCTCCGAAGGTATGCGTACTAAGGAGTCAAAATTATTCGACACGTAAGGTTAGTTATTAACGAGCAAGTTTCAACGCGTTTTATGACGTCACATACTTAATAGATCTTTCATCGCAGTATTTTCGATTCGTTGTAACTCTTTAAATGCTCATATAAATTATTTAAATACAATTTCTAAATTATGATTTTTAATAGTGTTACACTATTATGATAAATATAGTATCTGGGTAGAATATTTAATTAAAAAGCTATCAATAAAATATGAATATCATTAAAAATAAGTTTTATCTTCTTTAAATTCTCATAAATAGAAATACGGTTCATTCAAAAACATTTTGAAACAAAATCATGTAACAAACATTAATTTGCTCTGCTTCACCTTTCACATCATATACATTATAGCATAAGATTAATGATAAGAAAATATAATCGCATTTTTTAAACAAAATTTCACACTTTGAATCGAACTAAGGCTATTCCTCGATAAACTGAGAAAATGTATAAATAGATTGTTCATTTATAATTCTAAAACACGTATCTGCAAAACAAAGTTTCTGTTCATCACTCAAAATTAAGAAATTATAAATAGAAATTTGTATATTTAAAATAGTATTATGAAATACTTATGAGACGATAAAAAGATAACATTTATAGGACGATAAAAATATAACATTTATAAGACGATAAAAATATAACATTCATAAGACTATTCTATCTCCTTACAATTTGTACTAAATATTGAATTCTTGTACAATATTTAGAATAAATTGTAAGGCGACAGATAAGTATTACAACAATTAAATCACTGTTTAGTTGAGGAAATTGATATTA